ACGCTCTTCTTATAGTTTGGTATACACGAAACAAATGTATATGATACGTGTGCACTTTCATTGTGGAAACATTAATTTAAAAGGGAAATGGTATCTAATTTTATTCTCAATTTTTATCTGATCTCAATAAATATAATACAATGAAAGCATTATATAAATTTAATAACAATCTTCTCGTTCTGGCCATTGACTATTTTCAATGTCAAGTTGACATTGTCAACACAACACTCCATAATATCGATCAATCACATATCAATTAGTATTCTTCGATAATGAAATTGATTTTTGCACTTGTATAAAAATCCTATTACATATGTGTACATGCACACTATAAGCGTTGATAGAGTATGTTCTGTTATGAGTGATTGATGGCCCATGTGGTGCGAACGTATTAAGAATTAATCTCCACAGGGAAATATTATATTAATATATTATAACATTTAAATTTATAATATCACTATATTATAATTAAAAATTATAAATGCAATCACATATACATATATCAAACTATAAATCAAACTAATATTTATGAAGTTCGACAAAATTAGAAACATAAGTACCTCGACAGATCTTGCTTACTGCAGTTTTTGTTTTGTTAAAAACAAACATTTTTCGTCTGGTGGTTATTATTATAGGAATTTAAATTCTTATCAACGAAACTTACTTCATTTCTTATGCATAGATGGGCTTTATGATTCAACTTTATTTTTCTGGCACGTTCAAAATAAGTATACTATTGATTATAACATTCTTTCTACATCATCTACCAGCAAATTTATGGTAATCGTCATTTACCGAATGAAATGCAAAAATTCGTTTACGGGAAGAAAATAATTTCCAATACTCATGGATCAGTTAAATGCTGAACGTTTTAAAGAAGAGCATATTACAGTGAAACCTCCATTGTCTGAATACCGTTTATCCGAACATCGCCTAACACAGTACGCGATTATCTGAACAATGCACACTTAGGCGAATATTATGGTACAAATTGTACTCACCAGAAATGGCTGTACCAACGATGAAAAAATTAATCAGATCGATTTTATGCATTTAAAGCAATCGTGAATAAACAAAATACAGTAAAGTTTTAACTTTTAATGATATTTCGAAATGAAAGAAACAAAGGACAATAATCCCTTAATTTACCGATAGGCTTTTAAATGCATATTCAAATTTGTATTATGCCATCCGTATAGGACTAGAAGAATCTATTATTAACACTTTAAACTGACGAAGACACGTGGTAAATTGTACAACTTTCAGTTCCAATTATTGTATCTTCCAGGTTTGTTATTCAATTCTGAATTCACTAGACCTACTAAAAACATTCAGAACACGAAAAAATTCAAATTTATAAGAAAAATATGGATCTGTAACACACTGTATCTAAGGCTTTGTTTAAAACTGTAAGAAACTTCATGTATATAAATGTGACCACCAGGTCCGAAAGGGTTAAGGGGTTAATGGATTAAACCTACATTATTTGTTTCGCCTGGCTAGCACAAAAGACCATTAACAGTAACGATCTTTTAATTTTTTTGAATATTGTAATACAAAGCCATATGACTACAATGGGACTTAAAGGATTTAATATTTCATAATAAAACCTCGTTCTTGCACCAGATCATCATCATTCAACCATCCAAGCATGGCGTCACCTATTCATTTTCTCTAATCAAGATTCTACCGGTAGTTTCATTTTCTTGGAAACAGATCGACGCGTAACATTCCCGTAACGAAAAACATTCCAGTGCATTCTCATTAGAGCCAACCCGTTCTATTTGACAAGCAACGTAATCCTTCGAACCAAATAACCAGTACACGCACCTGATCTGAAACAACCTTGGGTGTTAACACCCGGTGCAAACTCCGTTCTAGACCGCTCTATTCGCTAAGTGTCAACGTGTTGCTTGTAAGCACTCGATATAACATCGGTCTAACGTTACGCTAATGATTAGAAAATACACTGCTCAAAAGAATTAAGGGATCGCTAATGTGGGCGGTCTTGTTGCACCCACCGAGCGAAAGAAAAAGCAACACTACTCGTTGCCCGAGTTCTTAACTGTGCTAACACAATTTTTCAACAAAATTTAGTTAACTAATTCACGTGTGTCTCATTGGTATAAAAAAATTCAAATTCACTACAATAGAATGAAAATTTAACTTAGAAGGCCAGAAATATTTCATTCTTTGAAGTCCAAAGCTTCGAAAGTTCTTTCTCCTTAATGGTTGTATCTTCAAATGTCAATCATATTGCTTCACAGTGTCACGTGACTGTGTAAAGATACATGGATTCCATGGAGAGTAAGGAAGTATGAGTACAAGACCAGACAATTATTAAGGGGCAGCCTGGTGTAAAGGGGCTAAAAATGAACGAGTTTTTCGGAATTTATTGTGAAGAAAGTATTAACCCAATGTCTTTTAAAGTTTAAGAATACTTTACTATACAACTAGACTGACTGCAAACATTTTTATTTTCACGACAAATCCATAAATATTATAGTTACAAGGACTTTTGTGCAGCCCGCGAGTAAAAAAATTGTACATATTCTTTAATATCCTTTTCACAGCATGAATCTATTTTGAAGCTAAAAAATGCAAAATTGAAAAAATGATGATATCTTTGCGAAAAAGGCAACTTTTTTCAAGTAAAAGATGCTAAAAAATATGACTTATTAAAACAATCAAATTATAAAAATAAGAATATAAATTTCTAGTAAATAAAGTTATTCTTCAATTCTCGTTAAATGGGACGCATTTTTGCATCAACCCAATACATCATTAAAATGCAGCGAACAGGTTGAATGAACGGGTCGATGCTGTCTGTTACAGAGTTACGACACGCTGAGCAAAGGGAAGAAGTCGTGGAGCGTGAGACTTGGCTTGTCGCGGCAGAATCAGAGCGCAGATGATCCGGGGAAAGGGTGGGGAACGATAAGCGGCGGTAGCGGACTGTCGCGACAAATGATCTATGGTGATCCATGGCTCTATGGCACTGTTCGATCGTCGAGGTCTGGTCACGAGCCACGAGGATTCATGACACCACCGCCACCGCCGCCGCCGGGAGCACCGATACTGGTTGTATGTTCCTGTCCGGAGTTTCTCAGCGGGACCACACGGAAGTTCGGGAATTGCCGCAAGTGCGGTGGTCACCGATTGACTGGTCTACCTTTAGGAGGAACATGTCGACTTCCGCAGATATCCTCGAGGTCGAGACCCAGTCTTGCGGGTAATTTATTGTCTTCTTTTTTTTCCCGATAATCCACAATGTTCTTATTAGATTTGAATGTTAATTGTTGATGAACTTTTCTCGTATTGCGTCTACACCATTGAAGGAAATGTGAGTAAGACAATGTGGATACGTTCTGTTATTAACAAGCATGCACTTTGGATCAATTGATAGTCGACAATATATTCTGATGAGGGAAATTACCCAGGTGTTAAAATAGTTTTGAAAACAGTATTGGTTGGAAGTCGTAGGACTCGACCTCCCAAGAACTGAAATAACAAAGGACCATCCCCTGAGCGAAAATTTTGTTTCGTTCGAACTGGCATGTATTTAGGAAGAATTAAAAACTATTTTGAGCACGTGCCTTTTGTTTTTAGTAAAAAACGGTTTGAATCAATTCCACCACAATATATGTATATGGTACCTTGCTTCGGTCAGTATTTTATCTGCACCAAATTAGACTAGTTTCATATGCTAGACAAATTTAATGTTACAAAATATTATGTCAAAACCAGCTACCTGTAGGCACAATATTAGGATTCAGTAAATTACGAACAACCAAATACATTGTACCTAGAGCCGAACCGAAGGAAGAATCAACTTCAAATCTGTATTTTCTACACCTTCACCTCTATGTTAAGCGAACAAAAAATGAAAAAAAAAAAATGTTATTAATTATGAGGAAATTTTATAAATAAATCATTACTTTGTTCAATATGTTATATCTTCGAACAGAAATAACTTTTGAACCCATATTCATAAACACCACTTTTTTTCTCATGAATACTATATGTTCCTGCTATTTGATCTCAACTTTTTCTATTGCTTTTGTGTCTTCTGATCACCCCTGAATTGGGTCCTACATGTTATGATACACCCTGTATATTCTACTTGCTTCAACATTTCTAAACAAACTAATTCAATAGGGTAAAAAAATAACTCACCTTCTATACATGACTGGTGTACATATCTTGAAGTTGATTCTTCCCTCAGCGCGACTGCGTTTGCTGAATAAATAATTATACAAAAAAATCGACAGGAGTGTTAAGGCCATCGATCGACGATCCGTACGATCAGATGCGTCGGAATCGACTGGTGGAGCCGAGGACCAGGGCACGGAGTATATCACCGCACCGGCCGTTGTCTCAACGCGATCCCCGGAGCCAGAGCGTGGCGCGGAACGCGAAAGAACGAAAGGGTTCGATCGAGAGTACATCCTCGAGGTCCGAATGGTTCGACAAAGAAGGGACCGTCGGTTACGAGGAGGGTGCACGGAAGCCACGACCAGCTACCTTCAGCGGTTCATCGACGGACGAGTGGCTCGAGGAGACGCCGCCGTTGACCGGCTCGCGAAATCAATCGTCCTCGATCACACCTGGACGACTGGTCCGTGTGCCGAAAAAGATCAGAGACACTAGGAACGATTGGTCAGAGGGCGCGAGAACGCAGGAACCGAGTCCAGGGAAAAGCAACCAAAACGAATGGAAAGATCGATCCACGTCCACCGTCGACTCGAGACGAAGCATCCTCGAGTGCAACGTAAATCCGTATCTTCTGTTGAAAAAGCACAAGGACGAGGACGATCTCAGCGACGATCTATCGGACAACGCCCTCGAGCAAGACGACGCGAGGCCTCTCTCCAGCCTGTTCGATTCTTCGAAAGTGAAATCGATCGAGAGGATACCGAACAGAAGCGCCGTGGCGGAGATCGGTGGTCAACGGATCAGGGTGTTCAACGAACCCCGTGAGATCTCGGACGAGGAGGATGTCCCGCCGGTGACGAGGATCCCAATACCAAAGGTTTCACCGAAACGGCCGCCCAGGAGACTGAAGGAAGCCAGACAAACGCTAAAGAGCATACTGAAACGGGGGAAGGTGCTCGAGACCAGACGGAAGAACGTTCTTTTCAACGTGGACAACGTGATTTTCGCGCCGGAGAAACCATCGGAGGCGACGAGATTGTCGTGGAGCAGGATCGGTAGGATCGCCACTTGCGCCACGAATATCGACGAACGGAGGAATGATGAGTCTGAGGAGGAGGAAGAGGAGGAGGAGGAAGAAGAAGAAGAGGAGGTGCCGGTAACGACCACCAGCCACGTCGAGCAAAGGGAGAAGTACAACTTCATCACTGTACCGAATATCAGGGACCCGAAGATGGACAGGATCAGGCTAAAGGAGCCGAAAATGTCGTCGCAGAATATGTGCCAGAATCCCCTTAGTATAGACGGAGCTAAGGTGGACAGGTTTGTCCATTCTTACAACAAGGAACGCCCAAGTACACCGTTGCGGAACAATGTGAATGTTGATTCATCGCGGAGGAACGAAAGTATTGTTGAAAGTAACTCCAACCCAATTATGCTTCCGACGAAGCTCGAAAGCACGAAACGGGGGGATGAGGAGAAGAGATTAGAAGAAGAGAGTGTTAGTAAAGTGGAGGATAGTGAACGGCAGATCGAGGAACCGGAGGATCATATTCCTGGCATTGCTGTCGACGAGAAAGATTTGATTATGAAGTCTGAAGGTAAGAAGTCTAATTACATATTTGTACTTAACCCTTTGGGTACCGGATTATTTGAAAACAATATTGCATATGGAACAGATTTAATTTCTTGATACTTCGAGTAGTATGTACAAGCAGTATATTTTATGTAAAAATTCATTTATTTCTAAAAACAATCAGTGACATACGTAGTATTGAGATGACTTGAGATAATTAGAATTGTAAAACAAAAATAAATAAATAAATAAAAACACAAAATTGAAACAAATGAATTCAAGCTATAACAAGAAACAAATTATTAATAATTATGAAATGTGTGGTGTTTTTTAAAGCAAATAGTATCACAAACTAAATTCACTTAAATACTGTAATTGTTTCTTTTGTTGCAACTGATACAAACTACTCTGAAGTGAACTACATGTTAAATATTGTCTCAACTCGAATGATGCGTTAAACTCGTCATCTTTCAAGGGAGACAAGACATATGTTAGAATACTTATTTTTTTTCTACATTGTTTATAAATCAGGTGTTGAAGGTCCCCTTGATTTTCTGAAACGGTACACCCTATATTTCTTTACGAAAATTAAATGTTCATTAAAAACTGTGTACGTAAATATTCTGGCATAGTAGGTCTACAGTGAGTATGTACATATTGAGATATTTGGATTAAAAGTTGTATTATGTGCACTGTGTTTAGGTTATGTTTAAACTTTAAGGTGACCAGATATTTAGGTTGCAATGCAGGACATGTCCAAAAAAAAGGGTCACACAGTTTTAAAAGCACCAATTTTGTAATTTATGTAATTGTGTGTAATTACAATGCATTCGATCCATCTTTTTATGTGTTTATTAATATACAATGTACAAACAAAAACATACTTCTGATAAATTAATTCAATATAAACTCCTCTTTTCTAATAAAAAATAATTCTAACTAAATGGAAAATAACAGTCTCAATATTAAAAATAACTATTTACTATATCTGCAGTACTTGAAATATTCTTATAGAATTCTTCACAGGAATTAGAAAAGTTGCACTCAATTTGTAGCATTGCTTTCAACGTTTCTACACTCAGCTGCATTTTTTCTGAGGTCCAAATCTTATTTACCACTGAAAAAACTCTTTACGTTGCACCATTGCGATCCGATTAATTTATTACAAACATTAACAGTAACTTTGTGCCACTGTGTTATATATCCAATCTGGGACACTTTCCGGGACAGTTTTCAATGCGGGGCAAACAACTCAAGTCTCAGTCCCGTCCAGTCCAGAACGTCTGGTCACCTTTGTTTAAACCAAATAAGACTTAAGGCTGTCTATACTTTATGTGTGCCACAATGCATAGATCTCACATGGAGATATCACAGATTAGCGTATCACTAATAGAACACATGAAAATCAACTCCGAGTATGTATTGCTACACGTTCGTTAGTCATCGTTTTCGACCGACCTTCGTTTTCTCAATTAGTGGCTTCTGCGGCTGTTTCTTTTTGCACAAGCACCTATTATTGTATTTGTCGGTAGTTTCACTAATGTATTAGTATACTTATTTAGTTATAATTTTGTTTTCCATCGTAAGAAATAAATATAATTTGAAAAAAATGTAATACAGATATTCAAAATGGATAATTTAAAATGGTTTTTGTAATAGTTTAGAAAATTGAAATATAGAGTACTTAATTCTAATTTGTTAAATGATGACTGTACAATGTAATAATTTATTATTATACATTCATCTTTATATTATTTATGTAGATTGTATGCATTAACTATTTCATTAATATTTTCAAATCTAATACACTTCAGGTATAGACCACACAAAGTGTCGAACACAAATAACTAACTAAAATAATAATATCTTATCTTTATCACTCGCGAATTGTACCCTTTTTTAATCGGTTCACAGAAACGTCGAAAAGGTCCTTTTTATCGCGCAGTCAAAGCGAACGGTCATTCAGCAGACCGGAAGTGTCAGCAGGCAATGTACATTTCATGGACACGATGCGCCTCAGTCTTTCTAGAAAAGTTAAAGAAGCATCATCCACGTCAGATTCGAGAGAACAGATCGGTTCGACGGTTCGACACGAAGATTCGCCTAAATCTACGCACGAAACGCCAGAGAAGAAATACTTGGAGAAAGATGATGACTCCATTACAACCGAATCCCAACAGCATTCATCGAATCCAAAAGAAATTGATGAAATTTCCGAAGAAAAGGTAGCTAAGACGTACATAGACACTCAGAGCCCATTCGAAGATAACAACGTTCACTTCCGCGGGATGAGACCGACTAGTTGGTCTCCTCCGCCAGGAAAGCAGAAATACCATCACACGATCAGCGATCCCGGCGCAAAGTCAAAGGACATAGATCATTCTCAGTCGGCACGAAGCAGCCCGATGTTAAAGACCACGTGGAAGAGATCGAATTCCTACGGATCCTCGAGAATCGAGATCGGATCACCGACAACAGAGAGCAACGTGTACAAAATCACAGTCAGTCCTCGAGCCTCTCCTCTTGTTCATCGGCTGCAAATAGGCCCTGACGCCAAAGGAGCAAGGAGAACGTCGATCTTGATCAACGGAGACCCTACGCCAACCACCGAATCAACGTCCGACAACAAAGTAACCATCAGCGTCGGAGGAGAGGACAGCGTGTACAATCCTACGGTGATATCCGTGAACCTGGAAAATCCACCGAGGATAAAAAGCTCCGCGGAGAATCGTACTCTCGTGATACTGGACAATTACAAATCGAACATCGTCGTCGAGACTATCAAGGAGGATTCAAAGTCGTCTAAAGCAGAGATCGACACCACCGAGGAAGACGAACGTTCCGTGAAGCCCAGTGAAGTTTCATCTGGAGACAAAACATCGTCGAACATCCCAGATGTGTCCACGGATATCGAAAAGCAGAGAAAATCGAGTATCGATACTAAATCTCTGGGTACAGAGAGGAATACGAAATTCCGTGGGACGATCGATCAAACGGAACGAACGGAGAGGAAGCATTTCCAGAAGGAGGCGGACGATTCATCGAAGCTTTCCGAGAAGGAGACGTTGATCTCGAAACTGCTCGAAGATTCTCTACGAAAGGCCCGGGAAAACGGAGAGATCCTCGACGAGAGTAGCGGCGAGGCGATTCTGAAGATCCTGAAGCAAAGCCTACTGAAAAGCAAGGAGTACGAGAGCTCCGAGTCGACACTCGAGGCAAATTACTCGAGAACGTCCGGCTTGAATTTGGACGGTGACTTTATCTCGACGAACCTATTCCTCGAGGAGAATCCTTACGAGGTGATCAAAGAGCCCATATACGAGGAGATACCCGACGAGCCACCTCCTCTACCGTTGAGCCCACCGCCGACGGAGGATTATTTAAAGGACAGAATATACTTCGGGGACATCGACTATTACAGAAAGGGCAGTTCTGAACAGTTTCTCGGCTCGTACTTGACGGAGAATGTCTTCAAGAAACCGAATTCAGAGGATCTTACGGAGACCTATCTGTCGAAGAGTCCTGAGGACTTTTTCAAGAAAATGTCCACATCGCCAGAGGAGGAGAATATCTCGAGCAAATTCGAGTTGCTGAATTTTTTGATGGACTCGAAGGACAGGACGATATCGATCGAAGGAGAGGATGATGAGGATGACGAGGACGAAGAGGATACCGAGGGAGATCTGGAAGCGCTGTATGAACAGAAGGAGACCAGTCTCGGCGATCTGAGCTCGAAGAGCTCGCAGATCTCGAACGTTTCCGATAGCAGCGAGGAGTGCAATATTATCCTGACTAGTTCGTCGGAAACGTCGAAGGTTAGTTTAAGGCATGACAGGCAGAGAAATTTTCATCTGTGGTTAATGATCTAAGGATAATTTCATTTTTCTTCACTTCTCTAAGCTTTAACTTATCTTCGAAAATACTTTCATGAAAGCAAAATAGTCATCGCAGTTTGACACATACCACTTGAAATGATATGTAAGAAATAAATAATGATACTTAACTACCTTATAAATAATCTAGTGATAATATTTAAAAGTAGAGAGTGTTTGTGACACATGAAATGATTAGTGTCAACAGGTATATTAAAAAATATAAATAATTTTACAATACGGAATTGGGTTTTTTTTAGAACACAAGTAATAGTGGATTACTTATTGGCACATCCAATAGAAAAATATTTCTATTCGCTAATTGCGCTAATAAGAAATCCACTACCAGATTTTATACATATATATAATGCACGTTCACTAATTTCATATTTATAGCATTTTTGTGAATATTCAAGAAGTTTATTCATACTCGCGTAACCGCGCGACAACATTTCATATATCAGATAAGGTATTTCGAAACTGTGATTTTTCTAGGCACGAGGTGTGGACATAGAAAGAACTGATAGCGGAGTCGGATCGGAAAGCAGTCAAGCCAGCAGCACTCGAGGCGTGCCGAGACGTTGGAGAACAGGAAACGTCTCTTCGGGACCAGGAAGTCTCTTTGGTGGAATCCCACAAGTGATTTCCGGTGATTCAAAACTCTGCGAGGATTGCGAGCAGCGTTTGGATCCTTTGATAACGGACAGGTGAACGATAACATTACTGCATGATTATTCAATAGAAATCATGATAACATAATAAACAATCATTTTCATATAATAATTATACAATTTAAAAACGAACTTGACGAAGGTTCCTGCTTTTGTATTTTTCATGCTTTCAGAATGATTTCAATGCGAATTATTTTCGTAATAACCTAATAAAGCTATTCATTTTCTTATTCACGAAAGATACGTATTTTATTATCAATAATTATCAATTATGTGATTCAATAGTACCTTAATTTTACTAAAACAAACAAACATACTACTACATATGTTAGCTATTACCTTTGATAAAAACAAAAAATTGAATTTCATATTTATCGACGATGTACACAAGGAAATTTGAATGATCCTGTCCAAGAGTAATATTTGTTCGAGTTTTGAATTTGTTAAAGTTGTAGTTTTTATTTTATTTATTTATTCGTAATCCTTACAAATAAGATGATTTCCGGTTTTATATTATATAATCGCTATTTATTATAGTTAGATTGTATATTTCGTTTGTATTGTTTATATTATCTATATTATCTTATTGTCTCACATTATCTCGTATTGTCTGTTTAATTGGTCATTTGTCGTTAGTCTTATTCTTACTCTTTGGTATACACCTAAATCTATATGTTAAAGTTACTATACCTCGTCGGTGATAATGATAATATAATATACTTCGAGAGTCATTACGGACATTTTATGCAGACACTGAACTTTTACTAAATGCGTTCAACTACAGTAGTATCGCCAAATATAAACCGCGTAACAAGTCTCAGAATCATTGAATCGCACTTTCTCCTACTATCAATTCTGTTTACCGCAAGAAGCGAAAGTTTTGTTACCGAATATACATCAACGTCGAACGAACCAGCGTGCCAAAACGAATACAACCATTTCGAATGCATTCTGCATAACGGTGCGTCGAATTTAAAAATAATATAACTTCAGCCGTAATGACGAGAAATATTTATTTTAATATATATATGCAAACAACGCACTAATTATTAACTTGCGCCGTTCATAAGCCAAAGTGACTAACTATATATTTTTTTTTTTTTAATTTTAGTGCCAAAACATTGGATTGATGCTTAACTTTGCATATATTTATATTTTTGTGGAGTTAATTACTTTGGCAAATGGACGGCTTACATATGAATACAGGAAAACCAGTTAATTATGTTGATTAAGTCGAGTTTTTAACTAGAGCAGGGCTGATTAAATATTACTTTAAGAACGTCGATAAAACAGGATTCGATTTTGTGTATTCGGTGTATGCAAGAATAATGGCCGTTGCATTTAAGTTGGTACCGTGGCTTTATCTTGCTTAATTGAGGGGAAATTCAACTTCTGCTATAAAAGTGTTGAAATGTCATGAAAAATAAGAAAACTCTTCTATTTTAAGATACAAAAATACACATGAAGGTATTGTATAATTAGAAAGAACAAATTAAATAAATGATATAAAAGATATATAACACCAAATACGACAAAAACACTTCTAAACGACGTACATAACAATTTAATTAATCTTAAAATTTGTATTACTATGGTACTTATTATAATAATGATCGTTATTTTTAGTGGTGTAGTGTACGCACCCTTCGTGTGCAGGAAATGCGCGAAAAAGAGGGTGGAACGCAAGGAAATCATAACGGAAATCGTAGAGACTGAACAGAAGTATGGAAGGGATCTTCATATCATACTCGAAGAATTTCATAGACCGATGTTCAGGGCTGGTCTCTTAACTTCGGAACAGTTGACAGCAATATTTCTAAATGTCGAAGAGCTTCTCGAACACAATCTCGTACTCGCGGAAAAATTAAAGGATGCTGTGGAATTAGCGCAAGTAAATAAATTCTTCGTTATTTATTAAAAACAATATTAAGAATTTACGTATTGAATAATAAATGAAATTTTATTAAATTATCTTTTGTAGAAATTAGTAATATGGATTATATAGAGAAGACATTTTATTAAATGTGAGTTAATAATTTAAATAATAAACAGGAATCCGGAGACGAAGATCTTCTAACAGTGGACGTAGGAAAGATCTTTCTGGAGTCCGAACGGATGCTTCACGCGTTCGAAAGTTATTGCACCCGCCAGGGAAGCGCGAGCTTACTGTTGCAGAACTTGGAGAAAGAGAAGGAGCTGTTGCGAATTTTCCTAAAAGTCTCGCAAATGGAAAACACCGTTCTACGTAGAATGAACTTGAATTCTTTTCTTATGGTAAGAGCTGAGAGAAAATTACAGAGCTCCACGAAAAATAGTGAAAATTCAATGTATTAAAACATAGTAACAATAATATTTATAGAGTCGACAATAATGTTTACATATCAAAAATATGTAGTACATACAAAAGATATGATATTAGATATAACGAAACTTAAAAAAGTAAAATGGCAGTTATTCGTGGCTCAATACAGTACTTCTATTCTTTTTGATTCTATAACTTTTTGAGCACTGTCATAAAAGGAGAATAATTGTTTTCTAAGGTTCCCGTTCAAAGAGTGACAAAATATCCTCTTCTACTGGCACGATTGCTGAAAGCTACGCCATCCGTGCGACCAGACATTCAAGAAGCTAAAGAAAGACTGAAGCAGGCCCAAACCAACATCGAGCTACACTTGGAACACATGAATGCTGTAAATATTTTATTACCTAGTATACATTAATTACTTAATTACTCGCTAATGTAAAGATTTAAATAACACCTGTGTTTGACAATAGGAAGCTAAGGATGTGACATCAACGAAGCTCTGGAGAAGAATCTCCATCATACAAAATGGTAGACGGCCAATTGGTGAACAAGAGATGGTGAATATAAAACTGAGGAAGGTAATTAAAAAGGACTATAAAAAATAACAATCAAAATATACATTAAATGTACAGATTAGCTTATGTTAATACTTTTAAAATAAAAGTCTGGAAATTGCAATTACATAATAATGAAATTCCAATGCCTAAAACTCTATACTGTAGTCTAAGAAAAACTAGTAACTGTTTTCCAGAACATTGCAAACATAAAAGTTTTGTTTAACACAATTCAGACTTGAAAAACTACAACTTAATTTTGTTCTCACCATAATGTTGAATATAAAGAAGTTTAATATGTGAATACACTTCGATAATATGTTTATCTTAACAGATGGCCGTAGAGGTGTTAGAATGGGCCCACGAGGAAGCCAAATTTGTTCTGGAAGGACGTCTCTTAGTTGCTCAGCCAACTGATAACAATTGGAGACGTGGACGAACCGTGAAGCTTGCTCCTGTCACTGCCATGTTGGTTACGAATGGCAAAGTAAGTCACGAAATTTTGTCCGGCTAGTATTACTTCAAACATCACTTTGAATTTATAATCGAGGTGTTCTTTAACGAAATATTTTCTTTGCAGCCAAACGCAGAAGATATTGAGATCAATGACGACTCCCTTTTCCCAAGGTACATAGGTATCAAAGAGGCTACCCTGTTGTTGGTAAAAGAAAAACTCGGACGGTACTCTTTACTTCGCGTAAGTGAATTGTGAATAACTTCCAACGAAAGCTTATTCCTAGTATACAGTGATCAAACAAAGACTTTATTTAAATTTGCATCCATTTTAGGAACCACTGTACCTTGATAAGTGTATTGTGTGCTGTGAAACAGATCTTGAGGATTACTTTGAAGTCCAAGAACTGTATTCCAAGGAAACTTTTATATTTAAGGTATTTATCGCATGTTAGGGACTGTAATTATATTATTCTCAAATTGTCAATGTTATTGTGAACAATTTATAAGATAACATTATTTGTCGAATAATGAAGAAGGAAAACTAAACTTAAAAGTATTTAAAATATCTTTATAATTATGTTGAAAATCATTCTGTTTATTTAACCCTTTGCCTGCGGAACACTCAGAAACGAAACGTGCCAATCGCACGGCGCAATGGTAGCAATAGCCGTCAATAATCAAAAGAAATTGTTTTTTTTATATTCTTTTTTAGTTATATTTATTAAAAAAGTAATTTGCAAACATAAAAGATTTATTAAAAATACGTAAAAATATATATGTATATAAGTACATATATACGTATGTATATTCGCACGAAATGAGCATTTAGCATTGGGCGCCTATAGGCGCTGTTCGCAGGTAAAGGATTAAATGAAGATTGTAGTAACAATTTAATAAAAAATGAAAAGTTATGAATAACAGTAATGAAATAAATATATTCTGTATTCATGAAGTCTAACATAAACAAAAATTAGAACCAAGAGTCATATAAAAAATTTCTATAATGGTTCATGTATGAGATCGAAGGGATGGAAATTAAAGGATGGTCTAATACCTTCGTTTACCAGAAACATTATCGTTATTTTTGAAGATTTAGATCATTTATCTACAAAATTGATATATATCTACTTGATCATTATCTACAAAATATTGTCTATATGGTACTTTCAATACCGTTTAAATATTGTACCACATTGTCTTTCGCAGAATCAAATGTCCTGCATAAAAAGAATACTCTTTCCTGTTGTTTAGAATAATACAAATTTTCGAGACGAACAGAATCGTTGAAGTCCAGTAATTGCACTTCCAGTGAAAAAGGCAATTATAAAAGAAAAAAACGTTATCTGTTGTAGGCTGAAGATGGAGCCAGAACGAAAAGATGGTGTCGGACGTTGCAAGCCCACGCACAATCTCTGGGCGCATGGCGGAAACGTCGTGGAGCATTGCCGAACATAATGATATGCGGGGTCGCGAGAAACTGATAAATAATTCGCAGGATTAGATATAAAAAAAGATCGAACAACAATAGAATTGTACAATGTACAGGCGTTATTTAAAGGTGATTATATTCCTAAATGCGCGAACGTGTTTGCGCGTGTAGCGCAGCGGATCGAACGGGCGTATGATCTCCAGATGAATTAGTAATGATTTATCGAGGAGAAAGTGTTGGACCAAAGGATTTCCTCGGCTCATTGAATTCATGTGACAATGAGCGATACGAAAGTCTAGTTCTCGCCGTACGCAGATTGTTTTCTTCGCGTTCGGTTGCAGTACGTTGCAGAAACTTGGAGTTTCCTACGTCGCTGTAGCTAAAACCTTATATGGCGTGCAATCATCGCGTAATCGTAATCTTCTGTCTTTCTCTTCTCCCGATTCGTAACACCACATGTATGTACACAGGGTAGAGTAACCGTCCACGCACAGGACTGTCTTATTCGTAATTATTACATTCGAGCCGAAAGAGCAGATGGTAGCTGTGATACTGACCGGTGTATTGGGTACTTTCTTCAAACAATATTAAATATGTACCACGGTACGAGATCTGTTAGCTTCTTCTCCTATGTACTTTCTTAAACGACATTTTACCTTGAGCGAGAACATCGATAATAATGTACATAATATTAAAAAAAAAATAAAACGGGGTAATAGGGTTGACACATTTTGTACCTACAATTTATTGAGAGCCAAGAAACTGCCAAATGTTTCATAAGACCGGGCTTACTTTTATGATTCATAAATTAATTAATCTATTATATTCCATGACTATTCCTTGAATAATAATAATAATAATAATAATAATAACAATTAACAGTATTTTATTGCGTCTAACACACAAAATAGAAATTGTACATTGTACTATAATTTTATGTAAAATCTAAGCCATATGTTTGTATATAAATGTATATTTATACCGAAATCAGTGTTAGCAACATAATTGTTATATTAAAACCATCATTCAATAAAAATCAAATATATCTGTACAGATGCTGAAATTCGAGCTAAACTTCCAAAAACCCCCATGCTCCGAATTCGATGAAATTTTTAAAATAAATAATCACCGTGCTTAGGAAAATTCTCGTGGTTGGATTTCGAGAAAAGAATCTCAAAAGAAAAATCATACATGATGTTATTAAAGTCAATCAATCTGACAAAAGAAGACGAAAAGCAATTTCTCAGGGCCGTCATCCTCATCAGCCGGTACGGAGAACACATCCATATTGTCCACAATTGGGCCTACAGCCACAATACCTGCCATCAGAGATTACTATGAAAGCGAAGGAATCGGACAGCGAGGATCTCGAAGACGAAGACTATGTCGAAAAGTCACTCCATCAAGCGATTTTGAAATCACACACTGGGAAAATACCGCAATTTATCCCACTCAATCGGGACGGACAGCCGATTACTATAAATTTGGAAATTGGGAATGGCTTGCATTAAATCAAAATCGAAATCTTTCCTTTCAAGGAGATAAAACACCTCAACAAACAAACATGGTGGAAAACAGCGACACACAGGAGTCTATTCGTAACTTGCTCGAGTGCAGATCCCTTATACCGGAGGACCATCAAACAATAAGAAAATATTTCAGCATATTAGAGTGGTATTTGAAATATGTAAAGTACTTGCTTAGGGCACTAAAATTAAATATGAAATATTAAATGTATTTATATTACAATTTATCAACTTATACAAATTTAATATTCCAACAAATACATAAGGGGAGTAAATTAAAATAATAATTCACAAATGTTAATTGCAGTGCCGTTTATTCAATTAGATCCTCCGAACGAAATTTTTTTTAAAGTTATCCTTAAAAGTTGATTGACAACTATGTATTTATTTTATCAAAGAACATCAGCCATAATCTTTCATAATATGTAATTAAAACTCAGGTCATTTGATAATTTTCACATTGTATATTGATAATATTTTTATATATTGGTACATTGATTAATCAATATTATTTTGATTAATTAATTATTTGTTATGAACTCGCTTCGTGCTAAACTTTTGTCAACAGAAAAGACATATAGCTGAGGGATATTTTTAATAACTGGAAGAATATTGAATATGAAACAGTAATCAAAGATTAAAAAAAAATACGGAAACACGAATAATTACACCATACGTTGCAAAATGTCAGCATCGTCATGGGGAACAATTTTCCTGCGGTCACATAGAGTGGCTTCTTAGATCTGGCCATAATCAAAATTAAATTTTTCGCATCCTTTGGTTTTAAATTCAGCCATTCGCAATCATAAGCAGCTTCGTAAACACCTTCAGACTTTACATGCAATAATCATAAATAGTAAACGTATTGACTATTTATTTTATTCTTACGGCTAACTTATATTAATAGATATAATTATAAGATAATTGATCTATCAAAATTAAAGATCTTCTAATTGTGACCAGAACACATATATGTTGTATTATGGTGGCTCTTCTTTATCGGTTCCATTTCATAAGAAAATAATCCCTGAAGAAGTTTATTGCAATCGGACAACAGGAAACGGTGCCGAACAGACCTTGTCCATATTTTCAGAGTTTTTAAAGAATTTCTCAAAAATAGTATGTCATTTCGAAATTTTATTCAAACAATATTATAAGAGTATTTAGTTTTCTACAATTTCTATTTATATAATTTTTTTGTGTGTCCTACCAATTTTTTAGATAATAGCGTTTGAATATTGAGAGTTCACACTACGCGTGTATGGACAATACTCCACGCTGATACTTTATGCGCAGATAAAGATTCTTTTAGACCATACCTAACAAGACAAAATTTATAGTTTCTATATAAACTACAACAAACATCGATAAATTCAAAACTTCAGGCCTGATCGACACTCTTTTCTGTTATCCGATTGTAATAAACTTTTTCAGGGATTATTTTTTTATAAAATGGAACCATACTAAGGAGTAAGAGCAAAAGAAATTGGATGTTGAAAAATAAGGGCCATCCGAATGTTGCATGGATCACCCTGAATATGTATAAATCACATCAGCTAAAGTAAACCTTGTGCCAATCAATCAAATTTTTACGAGATCAACGATTATACTCATAACATGAATTATTGACGAACCCTGTGATCCATTGATTCTTACCGGTTGGGCCATAAGTCGCCCAATTACCACCGGCTAGAATTATTGGAACAGTGTTCCCCTCTAATTGAAAGTTCTATTTACTTGAGTAACCAGAAGTTGTCCGGCGATGCAGTAAAGGCATGTTTGAAGGAAGGTATTTATATAAGAAGGTAGTTGCAAATATAGTATCGATTTAGAATAATTGTCTTTACCATTGATTACCTGGAAAATAAACATTCGAATTTGCATGTCGTATTTGCGCTTAATTGCAAAGGACTGCTTCATGTTAATTCACTTACGGTAACTATTTCAAATATAGACAAGCAACTAAATATACCAAAGTTGGTTAACAATATGAGCAGCAACAGCATATACGTGTTTTCGATCACGTCGACCGCTCTGTAAGGAAATGGTTGTCATATTTTTGGACAAAGAAGACGTCAGCCAAAAATACATAAAAACGTCTTATAATTTATTTTTAGGACACCTACTACAAAAATGAAAAATGCAATATTACAACATGGACAAGGTACCTAATGAGACGCGTGTGATCCATCACAGTATCCTTTAAGACACGATCAAAGTGGGTGGATGTCTTTATGTTAGCGAGACGTGTTTGAAGATTTTCTAGCTGGGCAGAAATATGCAGGACCAACAATCCGAAAAAACTGTCAACTCCGACGTAACAACATGCTACCATTAGAGCGGTAATTAGTTGTAGAACATATATTATCTCAACGTATGGGCTACGAGAGATGTCTATTATGTAATACGTTGGGAGAAGAAACATTTCGGTTTCCTTTGTCGAGTGTCGTAATGGCATACCCAATTTTGGCAAGAAAATTAAAGCAATTGCTGCCCAACTAACTAGCGCATAAGATAAACTGACAAATGCTCGAGCTATTCGAGCATGTTGTATCATCACCTCTCTTTCTGCGTTCATTTTAGGCTTCTTCCAATCATCCTCCATCATTTTCAAGATCAGCAGGAGATCTTAAAGGGAGTAAGTTTAGTGGAACTGCACAGTGGTCTCTTATAACACTGGTCAACAAAATTTAACTTTTTATTTGTCTTCGAACATCCAGTTGCTTGTTCTTATAGATTCTTCTGTGCTGACTACGAATCCGTAAACAGTTTTTTGTCATCACCCTTAGTTTCCGAGAAATTTGATTTTTTTTAAAAATGCAAATTTTCAACTTTGAACTGTCGCTCGACTGTCGTTCGGCTGCCGCCTTTGAGTACATACCACTGCCAGCGTCGCAGATTTAACTAAATTATTTCGCTTCTGTATCGAATACAAAACGTGTCTTATCATTTCTGTTAATGCTTTCCTGAAGAGAAATGTTTACTGTATCTGCTGACGCAGTCAGATTATGTCCTGCACCCCTACTTTTTGAAATAAATTGAAAAATATCTGTAAAAATTATTGCATTTTGGGTGTTCTTTTCCCTTTAATCGTTGTTTAAACATGTTTAAATGTTGATGATGCGATAACAACGTATCGGGAGAGGTTATTCGGGAGAGTTTACAGAATAATTTGACGCAACAATCAACCGAATAACTATTAATGTTTTAACACAGGAAATGTTCAAAGTTGAAAATTTGAATTTTTTTTAAAAATCAAATTTCACGGATGACAAAAAACTGTTTACGGATTCGTATTCAGCACAACAAAATCTATAAGAATCAGTATAATTGTACTTTGGGACAAAAATCATGTTGACCAGTGTAATTCATGTCAGATTTAATGTATTATTTATGGATATTATATTAAAATGTCCATTATTGGAGGTACAATTGACAAAACCAAACTGTAATAAAATACAAAAACAAATCGACTTTTTTAGGCAGTTACACGATAATACCCCCTTAACGAATAGAATTTGGTTAAAATGTTTGTTCATTACTTGCCGGTTCTACGATTCTCTCGAAAACGGAGTCTAATATGAAAAAAATTGTATTCCGGGCTTTTGGCTTGTTTTTTCATCAAAAACCACTCCTTGTTGAATCAACCGCTATGCTATCACAGCCTACAACCAAAAGCCTGAAATATCTCTTTTATAAAACTAATTGGAGTAGTCAGTAACGCTTAAAATAGAACACTTTTGATCCGTAATTAAAATCATGGTATACAAATATTTACCTTCCTTATTTGCGTAGAACGTAACGTACTTTACCAAACTAGTCACAATTGCCATAACGAACCCGAAACTCTCAAGAAACGCCAGCAAATCGTCGCGCAGTAGTAAGACCAATGCACAAATTAAAGGAATCAGTATAATGGTGATCACCGATATTAAGACCACTGTTGCCTGTATTTTATCCAAAACCTTTTGTTCAGTGCTAAGCTGTCGTGGCCAAAGGCCGACTGCGTCCAGTATGTAGCGGATCAGTATAACTGACCATTCGTAGTCTACGGTAAGGAAATCGACAGTTGATTAAAAGAACGAACCTGATGGGCATCGTACGAAATAAAAAATACAAGGGGAATATGAACGAATATACAACACCTGCGTGTTCCGACAACGGTGTCGATAAGATATTCATGTCAGAACTCGTGTTCCGAAGCGTTCGTGGTACCCTATGCTTCTTTTTTTTTCTCAAGTGGACGTGGTGGTTAACCGTCAGGAGCGCAAAGTTAAATAGTTCGGAGAAAAAGAATGTTGACACTACGCGTTATCGCGATCAGAAACGGACAATCGTTTTAATATTTCATCTTACAATGTCCCGTGAAACGGAAATTTTCTTCAACATTGTTGCTCGGTGTACTTTTTTTATTGGAAAATTATAGGTACAAACAGCTGACGCGAAACCCTTTGCTACAAAAGTTTGCGAAGACAAGGGGGAACACGTTAGCTGTCCTCGTGCATCTTTAATGCCTCGGAGGAACGAGCGAATCGAGGAGACCGCTTGCGGACGTGCTCATTTTCTACCGGTTAGTGCATCAACGACTGTGTTTGACATCGCTGAAAGGAAACTGCCAGTATTGTTAAACTGTTAACCATGTCGTGACATTTAGTGGGATTAATTTGTTTATATTTACAGTGAGCTTCCACGCAAACAATCGGAATTTTAACGATGTCGCTGTAATTGCTACAATAGCTGAGCGTTGTATCCCGTGCCTCGCGAAGAAAAAACTTCACAAGAAAACATTAAAACACGATAAAATAAAGGTATGTAATGGAGTGTCAGCTATTTTTTATAATAAATTATCCAAGTTCAACAATTTCCCGCCAAATTGCGTCTGAAGGGAGAAAGTTAACTGTCATAGCGTCGGTAGCAGGACCGACGCACAGTGGGAAAACTTTTGCGACATTTTTGAATAACTCTTAAACCATTAAAGGTACAGCAATGAAATTTGAATTGAATATTTAAAAACATAATTTCTTCTCGATGATTTATAATGTAATACATTTAACATTTGTTTAACCGTTTTTATTAACTTTTTTTAATTGAATTATTCCCAAAAAATTTTATAAATTATTTATTCTATATTATTATTATTTAATATTTTCGCTAATTAATTTAAATTGCAAGTAGATACAATTTTTAATTTTTAAATTATGCAGAAAAATTTGTTATTATTTCAAATAATGTGGAAATTAAATTTTTTTTTAGTATATGAAGTTCTAAAAATATAATCTAATTTATATACATATATACATACATGAAGTTACTTGGTTTATTATTCGTTTTATTATTAAAAAATTTAGCGCTCAAAGTTAAGGTTGCTAGTCTTAAATTATTCTTCACGATTCAATGCGTCGACAGCATTCAGCAGAACCCCATAATTAGACAAATTATTTCTACCAGTGTTGATACATACATGCGCACGGTGTATACGACTGTTTATACGACCGTGCGTTGCATCAGCATGCGTTTTTGTCACTGATCTATATACTATATAATATATAGTATATAGATCAGTGGTTTTTATACGATTGCAGCCCTGTATGGCTAGCGGAAAATTCATGAAACTTTTGGTCTTCATTAAGCGACCACCCCCACTACGGGAGTTTCCGACCTGTAAATACGACTGTGGTGACTAGTGACAGTGACAGCGAGTCAGACAGACTCTGTGCGACTGTGGCAGCTGTGTTCTGTGTGGGCTGTGGGCATTATATACAAATATACACTATACGCACTATAATACATAACCTAAAAACACCTAAAATTTCAAACTCGTGTTTACAAAGTTTGGTTTCATTAAAGACTTCTGAGAACTGTTTATGTTTTGTTCGGTAAGACTGTTTTTCAATCTATTAATGTGAATATGTTTTAAATTATATATTAGGATATGATCTGTTTTTTAAAAAGCAGGTATATGTATATGCTGTAACATGAACATTTCTTATTTTTGAATTAATCTTAGTTCTTTTACCATGTAATTTACACAGGTTCGTATTACGTGAAATTGCACATGAAATTTTAATAACGTGGATAGAAAACATTGTTTATTATTACAATGAAATGTCACTATGAGGTATTAGGAGTTGCACAAAATGCTGCTGACGATGATTTAAAAAAAGCCTACAGAAAATTGGCATTAAAATGGCATCCAGATAAAAATTTGGATCATACAGAAGAGGCAAGAGAACAATTCCAACTAATTCAACAAGCTTGGGAAGTGTTAAGTGATCCTCATGAACGTACTTGGTACGATAATCACCGTGAGGCTATCTTAAAAGGAGGTATTGGGGAAGATTATAAAGACGATTCCATTAATCTCTTTCCATATTTCTCAACTACATGTTTCAAAGGATATGGAGATGGTGAAAAGGGATTTTATACCATTTTTCGGAATGTTTTTGAAAAATTGGCAGCTGAAGATGCAGAATTTGCTGAAGACAATGGTTCAGATGAAGAAGTTCCAAGGTTTGGAGATTCACAAAGCTCGTACGAAGAAGTTGTCCATAATTTCTATGCTTACTGGCAAAGTTACAGTACAAAGAGATCATTTGCTTGGTTAGATCCTTATGATATAAGGGATGCTCCAAATAGACGAGTTGTACGACTTATTGAAAAAGAGAACAAAAAGATTCGAAGTAAAGCTAAAAGAGAAAGAAATGAACAAGTAAGAAATTTGGTTGCCTTTGTACGTAAACGTGATAAACGAGTAGAAGCTCATGCAACAAAACTTGCTGAACGTGCTAAAGAAAACTTGAAGAAAGCAGAAGAAAAAAAGAGACAGCAACTACTGGAAAGACAAAAACAATTAAGAGAACAAAAAGAATGTGAATGGGCGAAATTTTCAAATATAGAAGCTGAACTTCGAAGTATTGAGGTGAACCTTGCTCAAGAATTTGGTGAAAGTTTATCATCTGAAGTAGATGCAAAAGATGAAAATGCAGCAGATGATGATACTTTTTACTGTGTAGCCTGTAATAAAATATTTAAAACACATAAAGCATTCACAAACCATGAAAACTCCAAAAAACACAAAGATAATATTGCTGCAATGAAGGCATCTATGATAAAAGATGATAAAGAATTTGAAAGTTCTCTGGATAGTGATGTTAGTTCGCAAACAACTTCTGAAAGTGAAAGAAAATTGGCAACAGATGCACAAATGCCTAACTTTTTATTACACCCTGTACAGACTAGTTTACAGAATGAAGGTGACATCAAGGAAGAAATATCAGATGAAGAATTAATATCGGATGATGAGAATATTGATAAACCATCAAAAGATAAAGATAAAAAGTGTTATCCAGAAGGAACTACATTGGCTGTAGGGCCACAGATGGATGATGTCATTTATATTCCGCCTAAAGTAATTGATGATAACAACGAATGTACAACTTCCGAAGATGAGCTTATTTCCGATCAAGAAGATGAGGACTTACAAGTTCAGGCACAGAAGAAAAAGAAAAAACGAAAGAAGACCATTCAAAGCCCATTGACAGAGGAAGCTAGTGATGAAGAAGATAGAAATGTCAGTCATGATATATTTTTATCAAAAAAACAACGTAAGAAACAGCAGCAAAAAAAAGCAATGGTAAATAAAGTTTCTGAGACTAGTCTACAACAATCTAATGATAAAGTGGAGGAGACTGAAGAACAAGTAGAAAAAGCAATAGATGCAGAGGAAGTATGCTCTGGTAATTTAGAAATAAGTAATACTAGTAATGAAAAACTTAAAAACAAGAAATCAAAGAATGCAAAAAAGTTAAATAAAACAACAGAAAAGGAAACTGAGACAAAAAATAAGAAAGGCTCACAAATTACTGAGGTTTCAGATCTAGCACATTGCTGTGTTACATGTAAATCTGAATTTCCTAGTAAAAACAAGTTATTTGATCATTTAAAAAAAACAGGACACTCTGTATATATCCCAAATGCAATTAAAAATAAGAAAAATCAAGACAAATCAAGAAAAATGTAATAAAAACAAAAGAAAATGATAAGAATAGTCACTGATAACATCAAAGAACATACATCCTATAGTTTAATTTATTGTAATTAATTTAAGAAATGTGACAAATATTCATTGAATAAATCTATACTATAGAACTACAGACCATCATACCGTATTTTGTTTTTTTTACATATACAGTGTGTTCTGACAGTAGGTGTGTCAGAATTTTACGTACCAAACTAAGACGAAAATCAAGAATAACGAAATTATGTTCAGGGTTTCGTTTCCGAGTTATTGTCGAAAATACGGGTGAAACACGTCTGACGCGACTAATTAGACTACTGTGAGCGCGCGTAACTGAGTCAACTGAGTCAGTCAGATGCATAGGCAGTGTCGTATCCCCGTAGGATCCACTTACTTAGTAGACGAAATGGTGATATACGACGTCAGGCGATATTACAATAGCTTTTTATAAAACACTAATCGTTGCATGATATTAAACTTGCCTACTTCCTAAAATTCACAAGGGCATATCAAAATCCGTCCTGTGGGATTTTGATAGGTTCTTGTGCATTTTAGCAAGCATGTAGATTTAATATCATGCAACGATTAGTCCTCAGCTTTTTATAAAGTTTTTAAAAAACCTATTATAGTATCGCCTGGTGTCGGTGGGTGTGTCACATCTTTGACTATGATGTAAACGGATCTTTTTATGTGGCTACGACGGTACTGACCAGTACTGACGGTCATCAACTGAATTCATAAATCAGCTGACCAACGCGCGCGCTCACAGCAGCTCATAATAATCTAATCTCTTGCTCGCACATCGCAGAGGGAGGGGAGAAAGCGACTGGAGGGCGATGAGAGAAGGAATGCTGCACGCATGTGATTATCACATTGTGATGTCTCCACACAACCGTCCCTACCATAAGACTACGCAGTCTATTATATATCTCTATGCGTCAAACGTTTTTCATCTGTATTTTCGATAACTAATAATTCGAAACGAAACTTTAAGCAATTTCATTATTCTTGATTTTCGTCTTAGTTTGGCATATAATTAAATTCTGACACGTATTATCGAACACCCTGTATACTGTCGAGTCAATACCTTGCCTAAATTAAAAATTTAAGAATAAAATTATCCATTATATACTTATTAGGTAGATATCACAGTATTTGTAACGTTAATACCTAAGAACAAGTTATATTGTAATGTTTATTTCTACACACTTAAATAAAATTATAAAAAAATTCCTTAGTGCAACATATATGTATATGAAGTTACAAATACAATTTGGTATTCATCCTATGTTAAATAATAAGAAATAATGTTTAAGTTAATTTTTTTTAATATACATGTTTTATAGCTACAAAATGTTCATACTTGAATTTTTCAGGTAGAAAAAAGTATCAAGTGATGATTAAACATGAATACTATTTTACATTGTGCTGCTAATCATAGGTAAGAACTGTATGTTTTAAATCACTTTCCTTTCATCTTTGTTTGTTCTTTAAAAACATCCATCTTTGATTAAATGAAAGAAATTCTAGTACATTGTAATTGTATGAAAATAATTCTTACGTATACAATCACAACCTTTAATATCTTGGACTTTAATTTAAGGTCCAGAATCATGGATACCAGGAAACTTATTTATCCTGCAGCTGATCGTAACAAGGGTCCAATAGTATCAGTTCTTCGAAAATATATTCACCATGGTTCAGAACTAACTTTCTTGGAGATTGCATCCGGTTCTGGACAACATATAGCTCACTTTGCTCATCATATTCCTCAGCTTACATATATCCCATCAGAATATGAGCCACGATTGTTACACAGTATTTCTGCACATGCAGATGGGCTTGCAAATATAAAACATCCTTTAATAATAGATATTACTACAAATTTTCATACTTGGGGTGATGGCAGTTTTATGGAAGACAGTATTGATTACATATACAATGCAAATATGATGCACATTTCACCTTACCAATGTTCTATTAGTTTATTTGAGAATGCAGGTAAATTATTAAAAGATAATGGTTTTCTGTTTACATATGGTCCATACGCTATAGATGGAAAAATAACACCAGAAAGTAATGTTAAATTTGATAAATCATTAAAACTTCAAGACTCAAGTTGGGGTCTCAGAGATATTAAAGATTTGAAAGAACTAGCAGAAAAAAACGGTATTCAATTAATAGATATTGTTGATATGCCTGCTAATAATAAAATTATTATATGGAAGAAATACAAAATAAATGCTAACACAGTATTACAGTGAACAAAATCCAAATGGATGGTATATAAATTAAATATTACTGTAATGGTTATTTTTATCAAGTATTATTTTGACATTCATGAAATTTACATTTCTTATTATATTTTGAATACTGTATGAAAACTATAAATAAGTTTTTTGATTGGATCTGGTAACTAATACAGCTTTTTTATAATAATGTGCTGTCTATAATTCAATATTATAAATATATTGTAATAAATCTTTACAGACCTATATTATAGTCAAAATATTTATATCTTATAGCTTTCATCATTGCCAAAAAAGTTTATATTTTCTAATCCCTCTGGTAAATAATTTAATCCGGATTTGTCTTGCTGTCTCATATTGTAACCTTTACCATATCCTAAAATAATATTTATGTATTTTATTGTATTCTTGTGCAACTATGTATTAAATACGAACAAATAATATATAATTATTACCAAGATCTTTCATTAGTTTCGTTGGGGCATTTCTTAAATGTAATGGCACCCCTGGTTGAGGACCTTTATGTTCGGCTACTATTCTTTGAGCAGCTCTAAGCGCATCTTCCATTAGTCTGGATTTTGGTGCTCTTGCCAAATACGTTGTACATTGTGCCAAAACAACATCACATTCTGGCATTCCGATCATTTTACAACTATGCATTGTATGTACAGCAATTCCTGAAAATGATTTTTTATAAGTATACTGATGTACTAGAAAATTTTCTAGTCACGAAAAACAACTATTAAATGAAAATGAAATACTACCAAGAGCTTTTGGGTCTTCCAAACCAATATCCTCGCATGCCATTCTTACTAATCTCCGTGCAATGTAAACTGGGTCTTCACCACCTAATATCATTCTAGTTAACCAGTAGAGAGAGGCATTTTCATCGCTTGCTCTAACAGATTTATGTAGCGCAGAAATCATATCATAATGTTGATCACCTTTCTTATCGTACAACATATGTGTTTTTTTGAGACTTTCTTTAATATCATCCAATGTTATTGTCACAGGGCCAGTTGTTAAAAATTCTTCTTCAGTCGGTATTTTACACTGAACTGCTAATTCAAGACCACCTAGAGCTATTCTAGCATCACCGTCGCATGTACCTGCTAACCATTCTATAGTAGGTTCATCTATAATGAATTTTGGCACTTCTTCAGTGTTTTCTATGTTTTTTATTGAATTGTGTATTATTCCATCTAATGAAGACACAGCACGATTTAGTATAGATATTAAATTTGGCACAGTTAGTTTTTCCAAAACAAACACTCTACACCGGCTCAGAAGCGCAGAGTTTAAACTAAATGAAGGATTTTCTGTTGTAGCTCCAATTAATGTAATGATCCCAGATTCAACGTGAGGCAAAAATACGTCTTGTTGAGTTTTATTGAATCTATGTATTTCATCCATGAATACTACTGTGCGTCTGTTAAATTTTAATTCGTTAGAGGCTATGGTGACAACTTCTTTTATTTCATTAACTCCAGACATTGCTGCAGACAACTTGACATATCTTATTCTGCCATTTGATTTATTTTTGCATATGCCTGCTATAACATTTGCCAGAGATGTCTAAAATTAAATAACTTGTAAGTATTTGTATAGGGCATAACTTGAAATGTAATTATAAAGGAAATAATTCCATATGTAAAAACAAATTGAAAACGTAAAATAACATTTTTTGCATAGAACTTGTTTTAATAAAACATTTTAATTTACAAATTCATTGCATGTGTGTATGACTCGGTACCACTTGTCTGTTACATTACTTCATTTTTTACTATTTTTACTTATGTTAATGTTTATGAACACTGATACTTGTATAGATTAAATATTATAAGATACATTAGAAAAACAGTAACACCATGTTACTGTCTTGTTTATTGTAAATAGAAAGGATAATAGACAAATGCATTAGCTAGACACAGTCAAGAAATTATATATTCCAATTTCGTACAAAATAATATTTCATGTGAAATTCTATGTTCTCAATTTATTTTTATATGTACAATTAACTTCTTTTCAATTGTTCAACAAAAAAAGGCAATGGTTCCAGCAAATTTAATTATTCAGAAACTTAATACTAATTTAAAATTTCATCATATGAAATTCTTCATAAATACCTTTCCACAACCAGGTGGACCCCACAAAATTATATTTGGTATTTCAGTTTTTTGTAATAACTGAAAAAGTACAGTGGATGAACCAAGAATATGTACTTGTCCAACATATCCTGAAAGTGTTGCTGGTCGCATGCGTTCAGCAAGAGGAACATGATCGTTCTTAGAAGACTTTTTAACTTCTTTATCTGTCTAAAAATGATTTTTCTTAACAATTATCACTAATTTTAATATTCCTAATATTTATTTCTAGAAACAGGAAGTATAATTACATTGTCATAAGATGAAATCCTTGAACTTTGAGTATCTGTATTTATTGATGATGATTCTGTTAAATTCCTTTTTTTCTTTATTGTCCCTGAATTACTTTTTTTGACATGCATGTCATTCAATTTCATCAACTTTCTAGGAGAACTTTCATCCTTACAGGAACTTGAAGATTGATTGCTTATTGATTCATTTAAAAACAAACATTTACTGGCATGGCTTTCAATTATTTTGGGTGAAAATTCTTTAGAACATATTGGACAAGTGATTTTGTCACTACTCATGTTTAAATCTGTAAAAAGTATGCTTGTAAATATAAATACAATATTGCTGAGTAATTATTAAGACAATAAAATATATTTGAAAAATAAGGGGACACTAATTTTCCAGATTAATGAATATTACTCGACATGAATTGTAGACTTCTATACCTATGTATAAATATTTTGAAATTATCTATGACTGCTTAAATAGTGCTATAAAATCTTCTTACTTTGTAAGACAACCCGTCAAATAAGATTACCGCGCGATGCGCAAGAATGGATAATGAAGAGGATTTTCGGCGACGGTACCGTTATATTAAGCTCTAGTATGTGTTAACCTGTGCCTAATGTTAACTCATCTATTTTACACACTAAATGTACTCGACAATCCATTAAAATATTTAGTCATTTTTATTTTCTATTAGTAAGAAACTGAGGATATCATAGTCTCATCCACTATTCAATTTTTTTTTACAAAGGACAGTGTTGTGTCGAAACTGGTCGTCGAAACTGTTGTTCCACCGATGACGTGTGGGTTGACGCTAGACAGCAAGTCAAGCAAGTAGCGTTTCGACAGTTTGCCTTCATTTTCTTTAAGTAAAAGAATCAGAATAACCAAATTAACATACGTACTGTAAGAGTATTCTAGTAATAGTAAATTCATGCGATGGAAGTTCGTCGCAGGCGAACAAGAGCACACGATAATAAGCAGTGGCAAGTGCAAAGCGCCAAGTTTGATTCTGAACAGATTCCTGCCAATTGTGTCGGAGATATTCAACAAGATGAAGTGAGAAATTAATTTAAAATGAGAAATATGATTCTTATGTTTAATATGAATCGAAACCATCCTTAAAGTTTGCCGATCCGTATTTTATTTAATATTTTTATATGTACATTATGCTAATGTTTTATGTTTTAAATTTTTCATTAATTTCATTTTTATTGTATATGTCTATAACTGTATGCCGAGTTATATTTTTACAGCATGGTGGAGAAATTCCTTCATATACGTTTGAAAAATGTAAGACGAGAGAACAATTGGTAACCGCGTCAACACAAACCCGAATTAAAATAAATTTCGAAATTGATTTAATTTCAATTATTTTATTGGTTACTGGAATTGTTACTCGTCTTTATCGCTTAGAAGAACCACGCAGCATTGTGTAAGCCATTTTTTTATACTTATAATAAACAGTAAAAATAATTCTATATGAAAATAACTCTTTATAAAATTGGATTTTGTTTAATGTACATACTATTAATTCCGTTTGATGTTCCTCGCGTTAACTTTTTGCGAACACTGGTTTCTAAACGGTTGTCCGTAAGTTGTGATCTTTAATGTTTATTTTGTTTTTCATGCAGCAGTTTCATTTCTAGCGCGAAATTGTTTTGAAAAACTTATTCCTAGCTATATAAACATAAAACAGTCATGTATTTGTTTTGACTAGAAAGACAAATTTTATTTGTTAAAATAGATTTGATGAATTGCATTATGGAAAATATGTGGGACTTTATATGAAAAGGACATTTTTTTTCGATTCGCACCCCCCTCTGGGAAAACAACTTATTTCCGGAGCAGCATATTTGGCGGGTTTCGATGGTCAATTCAAATTCGATAGAATTGGAAGCCCCTACGTGGGTAACGTCCCATTGTTCGCATTGCGATTAGTACCCGCATTATGTGGTAGTTTTTTAATTCCAACAGCATATCACTTGATCCTAGAATTGGGTTTAAAACAATGGACTGCAACATTAGCAGGAATATTATTATTATTCGGTAATTTAACACATATTTTTACTATGATACATTTTATTATTATATTCACTGTTTCGTAATATATACATATATATGTATATAATCTTATTATATTTCAGATAATGCTCTCTTAACACAATCCAGATTTATTTTAATGGAAAGTATTTTAATGCAATTTTCATTATTTGGGTTGATATGTATCATGAAATTTAGAAAAGTAATGGATCAACCAACAACTTTATCATGGTGGATATGGCTAATTTTGGGTATTGCAAGCTTAACGTGTGCATTATGGTATCTTTAAAAAATATGTTGTATAAGCTTCATAACTATTATGTTACAGAGAACATAGCTATTCTTTTTTTTTTCAGTGTAAAATATGTTGGATTATATTCATTGATTCTTGCGTTATCCTTAATTGCTTATGATTATTGGACTCTCATACCAAGGAAGACTTTATCCAGTACAATACTATACATGCATCTTCTAGTGAGAATTATTGTAGTGTTGGGTACAATTTTGACAGTTTATTTAACTGTATTCTATATTCATTTATCAGTACTCTCTAAAGCTGGACCACATGATTCTGTAATGACAAGTGCATTCCAAGCAAGTTTGGAAGGTGGTCTTGCTAGTATTACAAAAGGTCAACCGTTAGAAGTTACTCATGGTTCACAGATTACTTTAAGACACACATATGGAAGAGCTTGTTGGCTTCATAGTCATAATCACATGTATCCATTGAGATATCCAGATAATCGAGGTAGTTCACATCAACAGCAAGTTACATGTTATTCTTTCAAAGATGTCAATAATTGGTGGATTGTGAAAAAACCAGAAAGAAATGATTTAGTTGTTACCAAACCTAGTGAACCAGTAAAACACGGAGATATAATACAATTAGTACATGGAATTACAAGTCGAGCATTGAATTCACATGATGTTGCAGCTCCAATAACTCCTCAAAGTCAGGAGGTGTCTTGTTACATTGATTATAATGTATCAATGCCAGCTCAAAATCTTTGGAGAGTGGAAATCACTAATAAAGACAGCAATGGTGATGTGTGGTATGCTATTCAAAGTCAAGTACGTTTAATACATGTGACTACTGATTATGCATTGAAGTTCAGTGGTAGGCAATTGCCTGATTGGGGTTTTAACCAACACGAAGTAGTAGCGGATAGATTAGTAGATCAAACGGATTCCATATGGAATGTCGAAGAACACAGATATACCAAAAGCGAAGATCAGAAACAAAGAGAAAGAGATTTGATTAATGCTGAAATGATTCCATTACAAGCTACTACTTTGAGTTTCTGGGAAAAATTTGTGGAGTTACAGGTGAAAATGCTTTTTAGTGGTCAGGAAGGACAAAATAGTCATATGTATTCTAGTGATGCTTTAGATTGGCCATTGATGTCTAGAGGAATTGCATATTGGGTTTCAAGTGACAGTAATGTAAGTGAAGTTTAATTACAAACGTATACATACAAATTACTTGAATGAATTAGTGTTGGTTACTAGTGTTCATTTGTTTCAATATGTTCTTTTTTTGTCACAGGCTCAAGTACACCTTTTAGGAAATATAGTAATTTGGTATTCTGCAACAGCCTGTATGATCATATATTCACTTCTATTAATATTTTATATGTTAAGAAGAAGAAGAATGTGTTTCGATATTACACATACAGAATGGAGCAATTTTTCTAATACCGGAAGTATTTTATTAACTGGATACTTGCTACACTTCTTGCCTTTTATATTTGTTGAAAGAACTCTTTTCCTTCATCATTATTTACCGGCATTTATCTTTAAGCTATTGCTTACAGCAGCAACAATAGAACATCTATATTATTTAATTGGGTATGTTGGGAAATTATTAATACTGTCTATCTTATTCAATTATAATGTATTAAAATTCATTAATTACTTTCTTCTTACAGAACTAGATACCAACAAAATGTTTTAGTGCATATATTAAGATGCAGTACTTTTATATGGATAGGTTTTATTATATATGTATTTAAAAAATTTTCTGTACTTAGTTACGGTACAATACATTTAAGTGCTAAGGAAGTTTTGAAGTTAAGATGGCGGGACACATGGGACTTCATTGTACATAAAACTTAAGAGATACTAAAATTTGAAATATTTCATGTAAGTAAATTGTTATTTATTTATACTAAAAAAAAACTTTAAAATATATCAAATGCATTGTGTCACCAAGCCATATGTACATTTTTTGTACACTATAATGCAGAAATTTGAACAATTTTTGAATTTTTATATATAGATCATATATGCAGAGTACAATTGACATAGATTTATTATAGTTTGTATTGTAAAGTATGTACTTAATACATAGACTGATTATATTTTATGAAATACTCGTTAATTACTATATACGTTTATATACGTACTTTGTATACGTAAAACAAATTTATAATACTCACGATCGTTGTACGTTAATGTGTAATATAAAATTTATATGTTAAAGAAACAAATATGTATCTGTACACTAAAATCTTAAATAGAACTCAATAAATAAAGTGATATATAAAAATCTTGTATCATATTTGGTATCATGTACACTGAATGAAATACTTCATATACTTAGCTATAAATCGAATGACATATATAATATATAAATGATGTGTTACATATGTTGTTACAAATAGATAACCATATTTTTATAAGAAGTTTTTATAAATTATTTAAATAAAAATGATTTTAAAGAAAGGAAGAAAAGTATATATATGACATTAATGACTATCTGTTTTCAAAATTTGAGATTCAAATTTTCTTATTTGTATAACAAAATTTTTTGTACAGATAAAAAAAAGTTGGTTTTGTACAGGGCTTAGTTTCATTATAAGTAGAACCAGTGAATACAATTTTGTACAACTCTTAAATTTAATTTTGTAATTCTTATGCAGGATAGCACCAACATAATTTGAAAAATAAAATAATGGACTAATAATGTACAATAAAGTAGACTTCTGTCTTATCACACATTCAAAAAACGTATTTAAATTTCTTTTACATAGATAAGTCAATTTTATTATTGGTATATAATACCAACATTACTTATGTGTAAAAACTATAGATCGAATTAAACCATCTCGCACACTCTCCTTACTGTTACCAATACCAAATGAGAAAACCACAGAATTACACTCTGCACTTTCAGAGCATAATCCCATTGGATAACAACCAACTGAATTAAAAACAACTCCAACTCGATATACCTACAGTTGAAATGAAAAACGAGATATATTGAAGAATTATATAGAAGTTTGCATTATATGAAATTTAAGATAGTTTACTACGTGTATATATACCTTATGTTTTAGGACGTAAATAGGTCGATTAAATGTAATTTCCACAAGAGTGTTAATATTCACTTTTGTCGTGAAATGCGTGAAAGTTAATCTTGTACCATCAGAATCCAAGAGATGAGCATACAAAAGTTCAGTGTACGACATATCAGGACTCATATCCTATAATAAATGAATAGTTATTGATAATTAAGATCAAATAAGATCCGATTAAATTGGCCTCTGCACACTTTACTTACTGCAGCAGCCTTAAGTTGAGTAGGTACTTGCACACCCAGTACACAAATATCTTTATCTGCAGTAAAAGTAACAGAACAGTCTAACACATTGGAATTAAGACAATCTGTTTCATGAAATACTTTTCTAAGACCATAATATTTTGATCCTCCACGCATGCCTCCCTCCATTACTGTTGCAGCATTGTAAAAACGTTCAAATGAATGTGAAGATGGCGAAGGCCAACAATGTTGTGTATGTGAACAGCTGGAGTATGGTGTACATGTACATGGTGCTTTAAATTTCTAAAAAACAGCAGATTTCATGACAGATATTGAAAACTTAAAATATACTGTTATTCTCCAGTGTCTTTGGAACGTACCGAACAATCTATTGCTCCAACTGAAGCTTTTAATGATTCAGCTCTATTACGTGCATCAGTTGAAAATCCTTCAGGCATAGGTGTTTTATTTCCGACACATACTATATTCATAAGAATTGCAAAAGCTTCAGTTTGAGTGAGCAATGGTGATATACCTGGACCTTCTGCAAATTCTTGAGGACTTAATCTTAAAAATCTGATTTTCAATAAAGCATCGCCAATTACAGATCTCAGTAATTTTCCATCACTAGGATCAAGGGATTTCCTTGCACATTCAGCTTTTGCCCAGCATTCTACAGCATTAAACAAGTCAATTTCAGAATTTATTAGCAAATAATCCTGATCTAACACTGTTAATAAAGTTGCTAACTCAACATCTTCCCAATTAGTTTCTTTCAAAACTTCGTTTGTCTTTGTGCGAATAACTTGAAGACATTTCTCCATAAATATTGGTTCCTCGAATAATTTAGCAAATTCATAAGCTCTGCAGGCTTTTTTTGGAGATAAATCGGACCATAAATATTTTGTGCATAGTTCCACTAGTGATGGAAGCATATACTTCTTTGCACAATAACACAATTCACAAGCTAATTCAAAAGAACTCAAAGTAACTATATCTGTATATATATACTGCAATAAAGCTTTAAAAGCTTCTGGTTGCACATCTTGAATTGGTATTGGATCATTTTTCTCTGCCATGCCTCCAAAAAACATTGCTTCGAAAACAGGACTGGACATGGCCAAAAATAATTTGTGTCCCTTTAATATTTGTTGATGAGGTTCTTGTCCAACAACAAACTTGCAGTCAGACCATTTTCCTGTCTCCAATAGATACTGGCCACGTTCCGAAATCTTTTGCTTGTTGATTTGCCAATCACGAGGCATACCCATCTCCATAATGATGAGAGACTATGTACAATGAATTGAGATTCACACAATAATATGTTGATTAAAATGATGAAGTCAAAAGATAGAAAACATCGATTCTTTAAATAATAAAACTTCTGTGCTAAAAGCTGTAAATAAATAACGTGATAGAATTGTGGATTAGATATCCTATGAGTAACATTCTAAACATATTTAACTTGATGACTATACATACCTATTTCTGAAATATGTGTTATCGCTATAAATACAAAATATGACATAAACGGTGCTAAATAAGTCCGTGGAACAATACAGTGGGCATCAAAATACGCGCGGGAAAACAGAATTTTCTTATATTACAAAACTGCGAGGTGTACTGCATGAATTTTAATCGTGTCGTTCATTCAGAATTTCACGTCTTCGAGCGACTTTCCAGTTAATTAAAGAAATAGCAAATACAAGCAGACCGTACAAGACAGACACCAGTATTTCACTCAGTGCGTAAACGCTACGCCATTTTGATTATTCCCACACTCTATTTTGTACGTCTTTTTCCGAAGTCGTTGATGCTCTGCCTCAACGACGTTAATGTATTTATCGATAATTCGCACGAAATTTTCTAAACTTCGTCAGATTTGAATAAATATATATATGCATGGAGAAACTCCAATGTTACTAATTTTTAAGTAACAATCAATTCAAGTGGTGTTACGTATAGTGCGAACAACCAAAATTTCCTTGAAGATATTAAGTTATTTTTAAATTAGACTATGTGAAAGCATGTGTCTGGAATAGTTGTCAATTTTCTCAACTAAAAATTGAGGATTATTCTTTAAGATTTTATGTAATTTCAAAAACTGTTCACATGATTTTAAGTTTTCCGCGGATTTTTCATTGGCTTTGATGACCGTTGTGAATTTTCTCAATGGCGCATGCACAGCTCAGCTGTGTGCAATCGCGACCAATTTATTAGAAAAATAATGTATTTTATAGTATTTTTATCCAGTTAGAAGGAGTACTGGACACGGTATTCATAATATTAGGTATGTTGAATCGAATTGTTTTCTATCGATAATTAATCGACTATGGAATGTACGGGATATGTTAAAAATCTTTTGTGACGAGATCAGAAGCACCTGCATGGGATCCACCTTAGCTCTACAAGCTTCCTGACAGACTTCTTCGGCTTGTCAGTTCGTGAATTTTTTATTTTCTATTTAAGTATCAAGATACAAAACGAATATTAGGTTTTGAATTTGTCTAATAACTTTTGCGAGTCACATTTTTACTACACAAATTCTTTTGGACGAAACTGACAAGACGAAGTAGTGTAGTTTTGTTTGCAAGTTGATACTCAATTTGAAGTGAAATATATTTAATGATATATAAGTTTTAAAGTTCTCCACCTTACAATAGTTCTACTATCAGTGTTTCTTAATGACCGTTCGTTGTATATAAATCGTGTTGAATCATTATATACACATTGTGTATTGCAGTGTTCACCAAATTTTTTATCCACATTAAGTCCAATTTTGTTTTTTTCTTTTGGTTTGTTCCAATTTTTTTTCACTTAGAGGTGAAAACAGAGGTGACAATTTTATTGGACTTTTACTCTGTGCTGTTTAAGAGAGTGTTTATTTAATTATTGCCCAAGTGTTTAAAAATTTTTGTTGTAATGTATAAATTATACAGCAACCAATTTTAGTATTGACCATATGCATACATTGCTGTTGTTGATTACATAGGTTTCATAAAGAACTAATAGAAAAACTTGCACATAATTTTTATATGATAAATTTTTAAGGTTTCAATATTTTTATATTTGACATAAATATTTTTGTAAAGAAGATTAATGTGAACAATTTATATTTTATTCTTTTAGGAAACATGGACTGCCCGTCTAATATTACAACAGTGCTTAAATTATATTCAAATTGCATGTAGTCTTTCCAATCCGCATTACTTTTGATGCATCAAAAGGAACAATACATTTTTGAGGTAAATTATCCTTAGCTTCTGCTAGAAGAAATGGATACAGTAAGAGATGAAGACAGGCGCAGGCGCCTGAGGGTGCTGGAGGAGCGTATAAGAGATCCAAGAAGTGTTACGAATATCGATTGTCTGTTGGATACAGTCCAAGCCTTGGTGGCAGATTGTGATCATTCTAGTGTAAAACGTATGAAGAATATAGAAGCATATATGAATAGATGTAAGTATCTAGTTCTTTCTGTCAAGAGTATATATACACAGAGAAAATTGTATTTTTTTTTACTTAAAAAACTAAAAAGTTTTATAGAAATAGTGAGAAGTATCTAAAAGTATTGTATGACAGTAGTAAAGAATTGTATTTTAAAATGTTGGTCTTGTTAAGTTTCTAGGCGACACTTGAATGGAATATAAACAAATATTGTTTTAAATTTCAGATGACTCAGTCGCTCAAGATATTTGCAAAATGCGAATGCGTACAGATGACTTCACTTTGATAAAAGTGATAGGTCGTGGGGCATTTGGAGAAGTACAGTTAGTACGACATAAGTCTACACAAAAAGTGTATGCCATGAAATTACTCAGTAAATTCGAAATGGTAATGAATGTATACAATTTTTATATTCATAAAGTATTGTATTTTAAGGTATTTTGTTTCTCATTTTTTGCATTTCTTACAGATCAAACGGTCAGATTCAGCTTTTTTTTGGGAAGAACGTGATATAATGGCACATGCTAATTCCCAGTGGATAGTTCAGCTTCATTTTGCATTTCAAGATCAAAAATATCTTTATATGGTGATGGACTATATGCCGGGTGGTGATTTAGTAAACTTAATGTCGAATTACGATATGCCAGAGAAATGGGCAAAATTTTATTGTGCAGAAGTGGTGCTTGCATTAGATGCAATACACCTAATGGGATTTGTTCATCGAGATGTGAAACCGGATAATATGTTACTTGATAAACACGGTCATTTGAAACTGGCAGATTTTGGTACTTGTATGAGAATGGATACTGTATGTATAGATTTTTTTTTATTCTTATTGACTAAATTAGTAACATATGAATTTATGAAAACATTAATTATTGCACTTTTGTTTAGGATGGACTTGTTCGATCTGATACTGCAGTTGGTACACCTGATTATATATCACCAGAAGTACTTCAGTCACAAGGTGGCGAAGGTGTATATGGAAGAGAATGCGATTGGTGGTCAGTTGGTGTGTTCTTGTATGAAATGCTTGTCGGTGATACTCCTTTTTATGCGGATTCATTAGTTGGAACATATTCCAAAATTATGGACCACAGAAACTCTCTACACTTTCCCCAAGAACTTGATATTTCTCACTCGGCCAAGAATTTGATATATGGCTTTCTTACGGACAGAACAAAACGTTTAGGAAGGAATGGGGTAGACGAGATAAAAAGCCATACTTTCTTTAAAAATGATCAGTGGACTTTCGAAAATTTACGAGAATGTGTGCCACCAGTTGTACCTGAACTTTCTGGCGATGATGATACTAGTAATTTTGACGATGTTGACAAAGAAGATGGACCGGAGGAAAGTTTTCCAGTACCGAAAGCATTTTCTGGAAATCATTTACCGTTTATTGGTTTCACATATTCAGGAGATTATCAGTTAATGGCTTCTAGCGGCAATGAATCTGTGGATGGATTAGAAAATCATATTAATAATGGTACAAGTGATGATATTAAAATTTCCCAATTAGAAAATTTATTGGATCGAGAGAAAAGGCAAGTGGAGTCCTTGGAATCGAGACAGAAAGCTTTAACGACACAATTAGAAGCTATGACACGTCGAGAAACTGAATTGCGCGAAGAAATAGGTAGAGCGGATAAGGAACTGACTTTATTACGACATAATTACAAAGAAGCACAACGTAGAGTAGAACATGAAACGGATTCACGTAGGAAAGCAGAGTCGTTGTTCGTTGAATTGAAGAAGAAGTTTGATGAAGAGCAGACAAAAAGGGCTCGCGATGCAAGTAATTCACAACAAACTTCTGAACGCGTCACTGCCTTAGAAAAACAAATTAAAGAAATGCAGTCAAAATTAGAACGAGAAACAGAAACCACAACGAGGTTGCGGAAACAAGCTACAGAAATTACTGTGGCTCGACAAGCTGCAGAACAAATGGCAAATGAGCTACAAGTGGCAAGAGCACAGTTACAGGCACAACGAGATAACTTACAGCAAGAAGTGGCTACATTACAAGTGAGCATTTTAAATAAATTATTATACGTGTTCAATCGTTTTTGTTGCCCAAATCATGTCTTATGTATATTTTTCTTTCCGTTTTTCAGGGACAGTTATCAAAAGAGCGCAGTTCTCGATCACAGGCCTCTTCTTTAACTGCTGAATTGGAAAGTCGTCTCTCCACTCTTCACCTGGAACTTGAACATAGTCGAGAAAAAGAGGAAAAAGCAATCACGGATAATAGACAATTAACAGAAAGAATTTCGGCACTGGAAAAAGAGGCTGCCAGCTTAACTCTGGAATTAAAAGCTGCACAAGCTAGATACAATCAAGAAGTGGTGGCTCATCAAGAAACGGAACGTTCGCGTATACTATCGAAGGAAGAAGCTAATTTGGAAGTTGTTAAAGGTAATATTATTTTTTGTATAAATATATGTTTTTATAATTATGCTTTTGATAAGGGTATATATTTTCATTCTAATATGCATAACAGGCCGAAAAAGTAAAATATTTGAAGGTAATTTATATTAATTCCTATGAATTTATATTTTATTATTTTTAAGTAATATATATAGTTTCATTTGATTATTACTTTTTTTATTTGAACTTCATGACCTTACTAATAATAATTTTTTTTAATTTTCTGCTGCCTGTGTACTTAATGGTATTTCTTCTTAAGTACGTACCTTATTGCACTTAACTAAATAAGTGTCATGTCGGTTATGCAGAAGGCAACCATTGTATTCATGGATTAATATAATTTTAACAGCATTACAAGCTAAACTAAATGAGGAAAAAAGTGGACGACAACGCGCTGAACTGCTTGCCCAAGAGAAAGAACGGCAAACTTCTATGCTCTCTGTGGATTATCGTCAGATACAACAGCGATTGCAGAAACTGGAGGGTGAGCATAGGCAAGAAGTAGAAAAGGTGAAAGTATTACAGGGCCAGGTCGAACAGGAACAGCAGAAAAGAAACGTTCTGCAGACTGATCTTGCACAGCAGTCGTCTGAAGCAGGACGATTACGTGCTAGGGAGCAACAGTTAGTTGGCGAAGTTGCTCAGTTAAGAGAAGCGAAACGACAGATAGAAGAAGAATTACATCATTTGAAAACTCAGAGAAATGTGGATCAGTTGCAGACTAAGGAATTACAGGAACAATTGGAAGCAGAAGCTTACTTTTCGGTGAGATTTTGTTTTATTTTATTACTTACAAGAAAAGTTATCATTCATCTTTGACATTGTTGTAATTAATTTTAGTTTTTCCCTTACAGACTCTCTACAAAACACAGACACAAGAACTTCGTGAAGAACTTGATGAAAAGATACGATTACAACAGGAGTTAGAAGAGGAGCGTAGCTCTTTAGTACACCAGTTGCAATTATCACTAGCTAGAGGAGATAGTGAAGCTTTAGCAAGATCAATAGCCGAAGAAACTGTAGCAGACCTTGAGAAGGAGAGGACAATGAAAGAATTAGAATACAAAGATGGAGTAGCCAAGCATCATCAAGAATTGAATGTTAAAGAACAGGTCATAAACCGCCTCAAAGACAGTGAAAGTGAACTGAAGAAAAACGTTGATCAATACTTCAAGGAAAAGGACGATTTAAGTAAGCGGCTTAAAGAATTGCAGGATCAACTAACTAAAGCACAATCGAATGCTGAAGAAATAGATAAACTCAGTAGTAAATTAAGAACTGAGCAGTTGTTGAAGCAACAAGCAGTTAATAAGTTAGCAGAGATCATGAACAGGAAAGATTTATCTTCAAGTGGTAAAACGAAGAACAAAGCATCCGCAGCAGATTTAAGGAAAAAAGAGAAGGATTGCAGACGTTTGCAACAGGAGCTTACGCAAGAGAGGGAAAAGTACGGACAACTGGCAGCTAAATGGCAGAAGGATTTACAAGATTTACAAGTAAGCGAAATTCAGTGCTTTTTAATTATCATGCATAGTCGTATATACATACTTAACATTTAATATATTCTCACAGGCACAACTGGTAGAAGAGAATCAAGCGAAATTGAGGTTACAAATGGAACTTGATTCGAAAGATTCAGAAATCGAAACTTTGCAAATGAGGATTGCGTCACTCAATTCGGAAACTGCCAGTGTTTCATCCGTTGAAAATGACGGAGAAGATTCTGTTTTATCGGAGCATGGTACCATGAGATTGGAAGGCTGGTTAAACGTGCCAAACAAACAGAACATTAAAAGGCATGGGTGGAAGAAGCAATACGTTGTCGTTTCCTCCAAGAAAATAATATTTTATAACAGTGAAAGTGATAAGCAAAATGCCGATCCAGTTTTAATATTGGATCTAAATAAGGTCTTCCACGTTAGATCCGTTACTCAGGGTGATGTCATCCGAGCCGATGCCAAAGATATTCCCAGAATTTTTCAGGTGAATAATTCATGTGGTAATGAATTTTTCACTCGTTCAATAGCACAACTTCGTCCATTTTCTATATATTATAGTTGCTATACGCTGGTGAAGGTGAGGCAAGGCGTCCTGGTGATGAAGGAAACGCACTGCCCGGTGTGGAACTGCCACAACTTGCGGATAAACCAGGCACGCAGTCGTTAAAAGGCCATGAGTTCGTTTCTATATCGTATCACATGCCAACAACTTGTGAGGTATGCTCGAAACAGCTGTGGCACATGTTCCGACCACCACCGGCCCTCGAGTGTCGAAGTGAGTAGAAAATAGCAATATGCACATTTAATATGTATTTGTTGATTTTCATTGATCGGCGTTTTTATTGTCCACGAATTGATGTCACTTGCAGGGTGTCGCATAAAAGTCCATAAGGAGCATTTGGACAAGAAGGAGGATGCCATAGCGCCATGTAAATTGCACTATGATCCAAACAGCGCCCGTGAACTATTAATCCTAGCTAGTAATCCCGATGAGCAGAAGTATTGGGTTGCAAGACTGTCTAGACGTGTACAGAAATGTGGCTACAAAGCGAATTCGCACGTCGATGGCACGGGACAACGTGTCTCGCCAAGGTAGCGTAGCCGTGCGAGTCAGCGTAACCGGAGACTAAGTAGCTCTCTTGTATTGTGACATCGCATGATTGGGTGTAGCGAGGTTAGAGTCGTTTGATTTTTCTTGCACTTTCATTATTAACACAAATCCATGCTTTCATTGAAGATTATAAATCAAAGGTACAATACTGATACTCAAGTGTTCGGAATAGGTGTGCATCAGTCGAATTCAGGAGGGATTTTTGAAAGTTTCTCCGTTATACGAAACTATTTCAGTTCTTGAAATTCAATTGAAACACTAAACCGTGCGATGTTCCATATTTTATTCGACAAGAATAATTAACAAAGAAAAACAAAGTGTGCTGGTATGGGATACGCGACCGGTAGTTACTAATTAAAAAAAAACGTAGCAGTTGTTTTTAGAAAAAGTAAAAAAGTTACTGTTCTTCTTTCTAATATAGTACGCTTATTGTGACAGAATTGAGTTTTGCTACAAAACTTATATCTCAAGAACGGAATTAAGGATTTTTTTTTCCATGTCACTTAGATACGCATCAATGAAATCGGTTGTGATATGTGTTTCTAGAATTGATAAAAATTACGAATGTTTTTCTCTAACTGGACCAGTACCAATTTGATCACACCCTAACCTGATTTGACACGATCTGATACCACCCAAAGCAACCCGATTACTTTTAGATTAGACTCAACTACTTTCCGCTTCGACACGTGTCAACCTAATTACTTGACAACCCGAATTGACATGGGTTAATTCGAGAACTTTTCATCCTATCCGGGATGGATGCAGATTTGAGTTAAGTATTCCTTTATTATAATCGCCCTTACAAGGGAACTACGGTAATCTGAAAATTCCAATTTCTTTAAAACTTTGCGAGTTTTTCAGGACCACAATAGAACTATCAGGTAATTTTTTGTTACTTTTTGGTTGCTCAGAATGAAAACACTCCTTATAAAGCTTAATATTTGTTTTCTTATTTCCTTGTATATTTTGAAAACTATACTAGATATCAAAACAATTGATGGAAAGACAATTTAACAGCTTTTTACGGTGTATAAAAGTATGCAATGAAATTGTTACAAATTTTTCATTTAAATAAATAAATCAACAAATTTTTAACAATTTTATTGCAAAGGTTTATAGAGTGTAAAAAGCCATTAACTTTTCATTCTAACAATCTTTTTGTATCTATAGTTTTCAAGGTATACAGTGAAAATAAGAGAACACAGATTAACCTTTAAGGGGTATTTTCATCCTAAAGAACCAAAAAGAAGCAAAATATTGTCCGATACTCCTACTAGAAATCTCGAAAGTTGAAAAAAAATTACAATTTTCAAATTACCGATGTTTCTCTGTTAGTTGTCTCTTCATATAATTACATCGCCATTCACACTACAATCATTTACACTATCGCAAGATAAAGCATATAAATAGAAAGATAGCGAGGAGGAGAATGCCAGAAGAAAGGGTGAGGGGTGGAGGGGACGAGTTAATGGGAACAAAACAGGAGTCGTGGTTGCTGTTCGCTATGATCGCGTTGCTAAGACCCGAGCAGTTCGGCTATATCGAGGAAATACTGCACTTTCCAGCGTGTACCGATCTGAAGCAGTTTAATTGTTTCCCGACCATAGTGTTCAGGGCATGTATATCTAGTCTTCATTACATTCTACTTAAAGAAACGAAAAATGAAGAAAAACATCAGTCGTATTTGATGTGTTTATAGTCGTATTTCTTTAACTGAAAGCAATCTGTAAAATTATGTTAGGTAAGCATGCATAAGTGTGTTGTGCGATTGTTTCATTTAAATCATTTAAAATTTCGATTTTATTCTTTGCATTCAAACTATTGGGTTGAATCATAAGTAACAGACGTTCTTTGGCACTAACTTTCATACTTTTCTAAAAAAAGTTATAGAATAATTTAATCTAAAACGTGTTACCCATTATTAAGTACAACTTTTTCTCCCATTTATTTGACAGTTCCTCAATGCTTGAATCAAAAAGAACTCCCGTATTTCCAAAACGAAATTTGACAAACTAATTTCGTACTGTACGTCCTGATCCTACACCTTCACCATTAACGTCACATATCTTGTTCGCATTATTATCATTCTGGAACTCTCACAACATTACATGACGAATATGCTGTTTCGATTTCTCAAATTTGAACTACACAGAAAATTGTACTGGTACTCGATCTATACTTGTTGACTGTTGTTTTTAGACTGTTTTATCCTTAGACATAAAGTAACCATCATGGCGACAAGGGACTGCAGGTCATTTGGAGTTCCCGAAAAAGTTTATGACCTGCACTGGAAATTACTTATGACTCAACCCAATATGTACATATACGTTACTTGGTACTTTTAATCACTGTAAGCTCTACCATGACATTTTTTCTATATTTTTATTCTCCTATAATACAAGTATGTGTACAGCTTTTCTGTTTGAAGGTTTAAAAGTCAATCGAAATAAATTAGTAATGCAAGTCAAAAATTGTTTTGCAACGGTAAACAAAATTTGAATGCGAGAGAAACTACTCTTTGCAAATGAACAATCTGTTACTTTATTTATGTTTGTTATTTAAATATAATTACACAGCTTTAGTTTGATAATATGTCGCAATAAGTAAATTTGCATAGCTTCTCGTATGTTGTTTTTTTCATATCACCAAGTTGCATGTAAATATAGTTAGGGCTGAATATTGATGTGCTGAGCAATATATTTTTATGATATATGCACGGTAAATGTCGGATTTCATAATAATGATGATTTGTTTATGGGGATTACTGTTGACTATACCATTATCTTAATGCATAAATCATGATTAATCTGATTTCGATTAGGATGCATGCAATTTAGTTTGCATATAGCGACGGTAATTGTTAAATATAAAAGTAAATTTTTTGTTTAAGAAAAACAATGATTTGAAGGTATTGGTTTTTGCGTTCGACAACTACACCCTCCTCCAGGCGTTTCAGGCTTAGTAAATACTTTTACGCTGAAAAAATACAAGTAATCCTCGTAGATCTGCAGAAGCGTCGACAAATCCAAAATTTACATTACATCGAACAAAATGCTTTCTCACTGAAATGGGGCTTTCATGTTTATTCTTATATATTTTATATATAAAGACCGCTATTGTGCTTTTCAAGCTTCTATTGTTGTATTAATACACGCAGGGTGTTTTTAAACCAAAACACGAATTCGCTGAAAGGAACGACATAAAATATTTCTCTTCTTTACATGGACTGAACAAAATCAAATATCTAACAAACGATTAGATCATTTATTCATTGAGACTCGTTATTTTCTTCAGTGAGTTCCATTAACGGATTAAGTTTTAAGCAAAAGAAAGTCAGTGTTCATTTTAAATAAGCTTAATTACATTTTATCGCGATCTCACTATAAGTTGTAATTTGTTATGCATAGATTGAACAGGGTTTTCCATGCAACTCTGCGTGTGCATTTTCTGCCACTTTCAGAATTAACAATGCTTTTCGAACTAAAGTGTGCACAACTCCTCAGTTCGAAGTGTCCTAATCTAAAGCATATCAATCAAGATTTACACTGACATACAGTCTATCTAGTAAGAGCGTCACTTGAAAAATGTTTACCTGGATGCAGCTATCATGAAAATTCTGGCGAATTCAGGTAGTCTGACGCCCTCTTTACGACGCTTACATGTCAATATGTTGTCCAATCTCCAGTATTGTTTATAACTACCTGGTATCTTCTGGGCACATTCTCTGGGCGAAGACCGCCATATTGATTAAATTTGGCAAATTAGTTGTTTTAAGTTCTATATATTTTTTCTCGGAGCTTTCATTTCATATATACCCACACATTTTGTGATTTTGAAGGTCAGTCTAAGTATCTGGATACCATTTATCACTCTGTACAACAACGGCTTCGATGTTTAGGATCGTTATCCTCTTGCAATACCGATTTTTCCGTCCGAACCATTCCTCAGGTGATCTTAATAAACCTCTTTGATACATTTTTATCATTTGGGTTGCGTTGAAGTTATCCGTAAACAGCGATAAAGTCCCAAATCTTTGTTTGGAAAAGCATCTCCAAAATTTGCACCTTTGCGGAGTTGTTCACAGTCTGTTGAAGTAGCCGATTCGATGAAGTTGACCGAACACGATTAATAGATATTCGCACTCAAAAAGAAGTTTCATCGGTAAAAAATTACATTTTTTCAATTTCAGTCGATATTTTCGTGTACCCAAACGTTCTTCTTTAAGAATATTCGTTTGAAACGTGTCGCGTACACAGCACTCGTACTTCGAAAACGTCGTTTTCTTACGAAGGTTGAACAATTACTAAAAATTTACCTACGATGCGTCGTAGGGGAAGGGGGTCAGGATACCTGAATTCACTGGAATTTTTATGATAGCTGGATCCAGGTAAAAATTTCGCCAGTCACGCTTTTACTACACCTTATTCAACGAGTCGAATCAGTAACTATAAACAAAGGGAGGTGACCATTTAGGCGGGATAAGGACAGAAAACATTAATAGACACGAATGTTATGTTATTCTTACTCTGACTCGTCTCGTTAAACGGTCAATAGATAGACTATACATGATAATTATTAATTTTGAGCAACTGTAGTTCAGAAGCACCCTGTGTTTGGTCCAACGTTTCGATGTCACACTTGCGAATTGAACGAGCTTCGCCACGATTCACTGTGTCGCGGCTCCGATTTTGATCTAGGTTGATTTCTTTCTTTTTTTTCAGAGAGTCCACCAGGTCTACCTTGAAGCCATATTTATCGGTACAACAACGATCCGCGACACTGCCGGCGAACGCCAGCATGGGCAAGTGACCGTAAACTGGCATCGAGCGATGCCTGGTTTGAAATTCGTTAGTACGACGACTTTCCTGTCGATCCTGGTCGAGCCGGGCAGGTTCGATTAATCGATTTGTCTCGCGTTCTCGAGCCGGGCGGCGGACATTTTTACATGGACTTCGTGACGCCAGACGGGATTCGAGTTTCGTGTGTCTAACCAGCATCCCGGTCGGATCTCTGTGTCCGGACGTAGTCGGTTGGTGATATTGTCTCTTGTATCCCCTTTAATCCGCAGCTAGCTTGTTAGTCGAATGGAAAGAACACGACCTTTAATGTGCAGGGTATTCGTATTATTGATACTTTAAATTATTCATAAACCGTGTGAGAGAGAGAGAGAGAGAGAGAGAGAGACAGAGAGAGAGAGAGAGAGAGAAAGAGAGAGAGAGAGAAACTAGAATAGGACAAAAGATTCCTCGCAAGAAATAGGTCGATATTAATTAACGTTCAGAGTTTACAATAAAATATTACACGAATACGAAATTTAGGCAAAATCAGGTAATTGTATCGAGTCATACCGATTCTTTTATAATAGCCAATGAATTCTTTCCCTTTTGTGTTTATTTTCACCGTTTACTGGTCGTTCAGTTACTATGTGAGCGGGGAATAAATGGCCGATCACCATTCATGCTTGTAGCATTATAATTCTGTACAGTTCTTTATGAATGGTTTGAAATGCTGTTGTCTAAAATTGATATCGATTCTACAAACTTGAATCTTCGTCACCTTATAGAAGCAGTTAAAGGAATTCTACATCTTTCACAACTGTAGCGGGGGTAACGGTAATCCAAACACGTTCAAACGGCCGTTTATTTCCCGCCAACGAAATCCAACATGGACGTCTCAAGTGTAACGAAACAATGTGCAAAATGTGAATAGGCGAGCAGAACGACCGTTCGAGGTGTGTTGCGCGATGGAAGAGCAATCATTGATGATAATGTTTACAGAAGAACGTACGGGTCGTGACGAATGAGAAACGATGGCCGTGTTATGGTACTCGGTAAATCCGCACGGTGGTCCCCAGGACCACTGAATCGTTTTATAAACCTTTTTCCACGGACCGAGAGAATGAGGATCGAGTTCTTTTTTTTATAGTGATTTTTTCCCGTAGACGCTTAAATATGATTTTTCCCTTGTACATACTTTTTTAACAATTGTTATCCTGTTGATTGCGGCCCGTTCGTTAGTGTCGGGACGATCGCGTTGAGGAGGGAATAGGATGTTCTTTAATCCTTTCGGTGGACCGTTGATCAATGGATAGGATCGAAGGATACGTCTAACGGAGAATTTGTACACGGTATATGCCAGCGTTCAGATCTCCGGAAACCAGCACCGGAAGGGTTAAAGGAGAACGGGACGTTTCACGCAACACACAGCTGTTCGCTGCATTCACCCCCCGGAAACACGTAATATTGCGTATTTACCACGGCAGATCGATAGTATTATTATTTTTATACGTTTCGAGATTAGAATATTTAAAGTACCCGCTAGTTAAGGGGGGGAGATCGATCGACTCGTACGTAGGAAAGACGACGGTGTGCTTGCCTAGCTAACTAGCCCGGCTGCCCAGAGTGTCTCCGTGTTTTAATGAGAGACGTAGACTGGATGCTGATAAACGCGTCGATCGGCGTGAAAATGTAGAACACTGAACGCTGAAAATGTGTTTTTCAGTCGCGAATTTTAACGGTATTGAATCACGTCTGGACGTGTTTATCGAACTATGAAACCTGCGAGAGCCTCTCGACTGTTTTAAAGGTTCGTTTTTAAGGATTTAGGTCACGTTGGATAAGTCAAAGTCATAGTCATTTTCGGCAATTTTTGGGGGTGGGGGCAGATAATGAAATAAATGGAAAATTTAATATAAAGTCTTTTATTGTACAACTTTCGTCGGAAAAAGTCGTATTTTTGGTTTGTTCTTGTTTTCTTACAAAATCGCGGCGCTAGAGCCGAGATATGCAAACTTGTCTCTGAGCGACGTTATCCACGGTGTTCGGCCTCACGGGTACACCGTTTGATCTAGAGTAAAAAACCAAAGATTATTACTTTCTACATGTTAAAAACTATGGAAATACATACGGATTTACAGAAATATTCGGTTGTGTGGACATGATGAACACGTGAAGAAAAAATTGTTTTCTTTTTTCAGAAAAATTTGGTATCAAATGCCAGTTACTAAAAATCTGCTTAAGAAATTGCAAAATCCATATGTATCTTTTTTAGTTTTTGACATCTAGGAAATAAAAATCTTTCGGTTTTTGCTCTAGGTCAAACGATGTAGCCGTGAGATCGAACACCGCGGAGATTGTCGCTCGAAAAGATGTTTCGGTATGTCGGCTCTAGCGCCGCGATTTTGTAAGAAATAAATAAACAACAAATACGACTTTTGCCGGCGAAAGTTGTACAATGAAGGCTATATATTGAATTTTCCATTTATTTCATTATCTTCCCAAAAATAATTCCCGAAAATTACTATGAGTTTGACTCATCCAAGATGGCCAACCCCTTAACATATCGTCTAACCTAAACCACCCTTGTTCCGCATCACGTATTATACGCTTTTTGGGTAAATTTTCCTCTTCCTTTCGCGATTTATCCGTTTCGTTCTGTTTTTTACCTTTGTTCTTCGAATTTTGTAAGTACTACAATACGAAGACCGTCGTCCGGACCACGTTTAAATGTTCGTAACGGGTGTATTGTATATTGTAAATTCTGGTCCGCATTTGCCATGTGTACTCGTAGAGCATAAACAAACGCAGAGGTCAATCGAAGAGAGCAGCAGAAAAAAAAAATAATCGTAGAGCGGGGCTCACAGATACACACACACACACACACACACATACATACATACATACACACGTACACGATACGGTGAAACGCCGTAGGAACATCGCGCCGCGAATCGAGCTTGATTGTATAGTAGAGATAATATTTACAGTTGTAACTTAAGAATTTTTTTTAACACGATGTACGATATTCGCTATTATCTATAGAGACCAGGAGCATAATCGAGAGGCGGTGTATGTAGGCCTGTGTTGAAACTGTTGGTTTGACCGGTGCCGATGTAAGATTTCACGATCGAGAGAGGCACCACACACCCGATCAAAGAGCAAAGTGATCGATCGAAAAGAAAAAAAGAAAACGAGAGAACTGAATTCTAACAGGTGTAGAGAGAACGGATTTATATTGATCGTTGTCGCCGTTTGTGTTCTTATCGTGGTACCTTAGCGACGCGTCGTTTTAGGACAAGCCGAACAATCGAACTGCTCTTGTCCGGAGATGTTGACTCCTCCTTGTCCTCATTGTAGGTCGCTACACGTGTTCCAACGTGAGACTTTTTAAATGGTGCTCCCTTCCTTCAAGCCATCTATATCCCGATCCAGTCCTGTCCTATTCTCCCTTTCGTTCTCGAGGAGAAAGGGAGAGAAGTTTATACAATAGAAGGAAGTTGTGGTTACCCATGTGACGGTTGTTTATTGGGATTTAGTACGAATACGATCATGGTAAAAAAAAAGAAAAGAAACGAAGAAAAGATAAGAACAGGAACACCATTTTTTCGACTACTGCCCCGTGCCTTCTTTCCCGTTTCCGGTCTCCTTTCCCGGTACGGAGATACCCATTTCCGGCGGAGGGGGCTGGACACAAGCAAATTTTTTGACAATTGTGTGAGATAACGAAAGAGAGACAGAAGCGAGAAGAACAAGAAGAAACGGAAGAACTTGTTAGAGCATATTTTATTATTGTTTAGTTATTTACAATCTGTATATTATTAATTAATATTACGATTAAAGTATTTTGTAGATAATAAACGCGAGTCCTAGACGTTTCCATCATCGCACGGAAATCGATGAACCTGTTGTGTCGTCGTTTCCATCGTTGGATATATATTATAGATTCACATCGGGATCTCTTCATACAACCGACGACCTCTCCGCATCGCATCCGTGAAGAGGCCTCGATCGAAATTTATGATCTTTATATATTTATAGTATTAACGGTAAGACAATACACAGAACAGAGCAAACACTCGAGGCTGTCGTTTCTCTCTTTTTTGCGTCATCCATCACGAAGTACAAAAGTTCTTAAGCGACGATTTTGATTAATCGTTTTTTTTTCTTTTTGTTTTGTTCGGTTGGTTAATTTTATTTGAGATACATCGCGGAGATTCTACAATCCTATTATTATTATAGAAACGTTTTTTGATAACATTTAAATATGGTGAACTTTTCAACTCTACCGTATACAGGGTGGACCACTAGACGTGATCAGCTCAGATTATTGTACTGTTGGCAGTTCGATAGATAATTTTTTTTGCATGCTTAAACATCAGTGCAGACGTTATAAATAGAACTAAGCAGTCGTTTCTTAACCCCTTACGCGAGTGTATTGCAGCTGGTGGACAACCATTTTCAACATTGTTTTAATTAAGGTAAATGATATTTTCTTAATGTTTCTTGGGTTTAGAAGAAAACAAATTATTTGTTATGATGCTTGTCGAATGTTTCTCAGTATCCGCTAAAAGATGGACGTAAAAAAATTATAGCCCAGATAGCATGTCTATGATGCCCAATGATGCCTTGAAGACGGCTTAAAGACGCCTTGGACCTAAAATCGCCGTAAAATGGGCGTCTTTAAAGTGTCATGTGCTATCTGGGAGGTTTGTCTATTAAAAACTGAAGGTGATCTTGAAAACTCTAGAAGAAAAGGGTTGACAAAAAAATGTCTACAATTACGAGCCAAACATTTTTTTGATTGAACAGCTGGTAGTAGAATAATCTAAGCTGATCACATTTTTGGTGTACTCTGTATAGTCTTACCCAGGGTGTCATGTAACTGGTGGCACAATCGGATAAAAGGTGATTCTACGTGAAAAAATAAGTCGAAAATACAGAATAAAATTTGTTCATTCGAAGCTTAGTTTTCGAGAAAATCGAATTCGACGATTCATTTGTAATGCGTATAGTAGGCAGTAAGTAGAAACGGAATGCAATGAACAGACGCGTTAGCCAAGTCCTGTTCAATCGCACGCGTCTCCAACAGATTTTCAAAGTTGATTTTCTCGAAAGCTAAGCCTCAAATGAAAAAAATGTTATTCTACATTTTCCATTTATTTTTTTATGTAGAATCACCCTCTACTCCCGGTTGTACCACCAGTTACATAACACCCTGTGTATCTCTTTTTCCTTCGTTCCAATTTTTTTCGCTATCGATTTACATATATGGTACAAAATAATGCTACATGCAATTCGTAGCTTTCCTTTTCTGTATTCGAATTTCTGGTTTTCAGTTTTGTTCGTGATATCAGTCCTGAGACGATACATTTTGCCATCGGAATATTTAAATTGTTTCGCGTGGCTGAAGAGCGAACGATTAAAATTCGATAAAATTCGCTCGTCGAGACTAAATCTAAGAACACGTCGTTTAATGGAGATCTTGGAACACATTTAAAGAATTGAAATCGAGACGAGCTC